AAAAATTCATGTTGCTATCCCAGTGTAACAGTATTAAGAGCTGTAGCCTTGGAGAAGTGATTGAGTCTGGAGGGCTCTGTTCTCATGAATGAGATCAGCACATTATAAAAGGCCTTGAAGTTGAGGGGAAAGCCTATTTGCCTTTCCAGTCCATGTGCTGCATGAGGACACAGTTCCTTCCCTATGGAGGATGCAGTAAAAGGCACCATTCTAGAAGCAGAGAGCAACGCTCACCAGACACCTGCCCTGCTAGTGCACTGGTTGTGGACCCTGGAACCCTAGAACTGTATCAAGTAAATATGTGTTCTTTATAAGTTATCAAGTCTCAGGTTTTTTTAAAAAAACACAAACAAAGATAGCATCTATTGATAGAATCATGTGCTTTTTCCTGTTTGGCCTATGGGCTTGATAGATTATGTAATTGATTTCCAATTGTTGAGCCAGCTTTGCACATCTGGGATAAATTCTACTTGATCATGGTGAATATTTTTTATATAAATTTTGGATTCAATTTGCTAATATTTTGTTAAGTATTTTTTTTGATTTGTTTTTGGACACAGTATCTTGCTATACATTCTGATCTGCCCCAAGAACCCTAGGTAGCCCAGGGTGGTCTTAAACTTGTGATCCTCCTACGTCAGCCTCCCCAGGGCTGGGATTACAGGCATGTGCTACTATGCTCAGTTTATTGAGGATTTTTATATCTGTAGCCATAAGAGATTCTTGCATTCTTGTAAAGTCTGATTTTGGTATTAAGGTAATTCTGGCTTCATAGAATAAGGAAGTGTAGCCTCTGCTTCTTTGGTTATATGACAAAATCTAAAACAAGCCACAAAATTATATGCAGTATACAAATCTTTAATATGTCAATATTGCCCTCAGGGGCTAAAATTAAAAATGAATTAAGGAGAAAATAGAGAAGTGAAAGAAGAGAAAGAGATTAGAAATAAGGTTGAAAGATAAAGAGACAGAAAGAGACAGAAACACACACACACAGAGAGAGAGAGAGAGAGAGAGAGAGAGAAAGACAGAGGTTCGTTTGCACAGTTGTCTCTGCTTTCCCTGGTAGACAACTGTGGAGACAGAGTCCCCATCCATGCCAATCTATTCCAGCAAGCCAGCAGTAGCTTTTTGGTGGGGATAGTGGATAATCTTAGTGAGCTGCACTTTCTGGCCAAGACCAGACTCATTGGATTCACTGCCATCTGAGCAACTTATGCAGGACTTGGTCCAGCTGAGAGCTGCTAGATGGGGCCAGCAGCAGTTCTGAGTTCTGAGCTCAGCTGGCTGTCTCTAGGATGGCTCCCAGCCAATCACTCTCTCCCACAGGAGAACTGATCCCTTCACATTCACCACCAGTGCAGTCCTCTAAGCCTGCTGTTCCCCTCCACTGCCACATCTCTCTGTGGAGGTCTCTGGGGTTGCCAGCCACCACTGTGTGTCCACAGGTTCAAACCGCTCCTCTTATGCAATGAGTTCCATATCAGGGAGAAGGTGCCTCTGGCTATCTCCTCCTCCTTCATTGAAGTTTGTCTCTTCACTATCTCCTTGGGCTTCAATTCATGCTTCAGATTTCCTGGGTCCAGGGGCCCACTTCCCTCCTATTCTTCCTCACATTGCTATATTCCAATGTCTGGACGGTGACTCTCAAAGAGGATGCTTCTCCAATGCTTACTGTGCCACCATCTTGGTGGCACACCTTTCCAGTCTCTGCTTTTATCTTATAAAATAGAATAAGAATTAGCATAATTTATTTAAGCGTTTGGAAGAGCAAGGCACGGTGGTGCATGCCTGTAATCCTGGCACACTGGCAGGCTGAGGCCAAATGATTACAAGTTTATGCCAAGTCTGAGAAATTTAGCAACTTAGCCTTCATCTCAAAAAATAAGAAAAGAATTGGGGAAGTAACTCAGTGTAAAGGGCTCTGGGCTCAATTACTAGTACTCCAAAAAGGAAGAAAAAAAAAAAAAAAAAAGGAAACGACAAGAGAAAGAAAGAGATAAAAGAGAGAGAAAAAAGCAAGCAAGTTTGTTTAGTAGAATTTACCAATAAAACTACCTGGTCCTGATGGTTTTTGTTTTAAGGTTATTAAGAATTCAATTTCTTTACTAGTTGTAGTTCTATTAGATGGTCTTTTTCTTTCTATATGCTTGTCCATTTTTTTATATGTGAATTTGAGTTTTTCCATTCCATGTGCCACATGAGGACCAAGCAGTTGGTTCATTCCATCCAGATTATCATATTTGTGAGCACATAACTGTTTACAGTATTTCAAGTTTATGGAATCCACAGTGATGTTCCCTCTTTAGTAAGATGCTGGTAAGATGTGTGGGGAGGGGATGGCTATCATTCTGTAGTCCTATAGTGATGTTATAGTGTTTTATTAAGCTTGTACTTTTGGACTGTGAGTTTCACCCCTAACCCTTCACTACTCTTCTATGGGGTACAGCGTTAGCTGGAGTTACGTGTCTCCCTTCTCCTAGGTCTGTGAGGCTCCAACAAATCCCCATCAGGTTAGGCCCTGGTTAAATTGTTTCCCATGAAGGCAGGCCTTGATCAGAAGTTCAAAATGAGCTGGATGTGGTGGTGCATGTCTAAAATTCAGCACTCTGGGAAGCTGAGGGCAAAAGGAACACAGAGTTGAGCCCAGCATGGGTAACTTAGCAATTTATCAAGCAATTTATCTTAAAATTAAAAAAAAAGAACTGGAGATATAGCTCAGTGTGAAGGTCTTCAGTTTTGTGTACAGATATTCACTGGTAGGGACATGGTAAGCTCCAGGAGGCAAAACTCACAAACCTGTCAGGGCCCCATAATGACTGGGTCTCCTAGAAGTTTTATCTCTCAGGCTTATCAACACTACGTCTTCAATAATTCATCAATTAACACTTCAGGTTGCCCTCCTCAGGGACCATTTCTCATGGAGCTTTCCCTCCAATAAACTGTGATTCTCTGGATTTATCTGCAGTGTCTCCAATTGCAGGGTCAGCAGTTGCCCTGTGATCTCATTTGTCTCATGGGTGTCAATGTTTTCATTTTGTTCAGCTTTCAACTTATGGTTAGGATAGAGTGGTGATGACGTCAAGCTGCTTTCAGGCAGAACACTAAACCAGAAGCTTTCCTAAAGCCCCAGAATGACAGGGCTCTGAGAGCTTCCAGTTGGCTGAAACATGGGAGGTTCAGGGAGCGTATGTGACCAGAGAGAGCATGGGAGCTCCACAGCTCTCCCCATTTACCCTGCCCTAGGCATCTTTCCCACTGGCTGTTCCTGAGTTGTCTCCTCTTACAATAAGCAAATGACTTATTGACTTGTTTTCCTGAGTTTTGTGAGCCATTCTAGCAAATGACCGAATCTGATAGTGGGTTGAAGAATCCCCAGATTTATAGCTAATGGTCAGAAACACAGGCAAAAAACTGGACTTTCAAGTGGCAGCTCAAGTGGCATGGAGCCCTTAACTAATGGAATCAAGTGCTAATTCCATGAATATGTATAAATTGGATTACACTTTATACACTTGTGGGGGAACAAAGAATTGAAGAGCTGCTTGAGATGTGTGTGTGTGTGTGTGTGTGTGTGTGTGTGTATGTGTGTGTGCGCACGCGCTCACGGACGCGCATGTGTGTAAACCTTACATCTGGTGTCAGAAGTGTTGTGAATGGTGTTAAAGTCATGAGATAGGGCACAAATCCTGAATAGTTAATCTAAAGTAAACTAAAAGTCAGGGCTTAAGTAAGTTACCATACCACAGGGCCTAAATAATTAACTTAAGCAAATTATCAGGGCCTAATGAAAGGAACGAAAAAGAGGTCTCTAAGCAAATGGGAAGGCCCTGGAGAAAGTAAAACGCATACAAAGCAATTTGCTTTCTGGATACCAGAGCATCCCTGCCCTCTGTCATGCTCACCTCTACCGAAAACTGTAAAAAGTCACTGGGTTTAAACATCTGCGGTGTCCATCTTACGGATCCCTTCTCTGATAAGCAGGGGCTTTTCCTTTTATTCTTCCTAATAAAAGTGTCTCTGTCCATTCCCCACTGCTGGCTGTATGCTGCTTCTTTACCCCCAAAGAACCCAAGAGCTAGAGGGAGCCGGTCTCGGTGTGAGTATAGAGACAACATCCAGTTTTTATCCCCTTATTCTCCTCTAGAACTAGCAGGTAGGTGAGTGGGCAGAGAGCAGATGAGACACTGCAGGAGGGCAAGGAGAGCCCTGCAGGTGTCTCACTCTGGTGCCACAGGAAGTGGCTTCCTTGTGACTTCTGAACTGGGTTTATTGAAGCCCACAGCAGTTCCTTCTGCTCTGTGTTCTCTCCTTCGAACAGCATTGTGAGGGTCCTTTCATCTATATTAAATCCTTCTTGCTTAGGTTGGGGTTCAGGACACACCACCCCAACACATGTATATAAGTAACCAGAATGAGCCACCCCAAAATATACTTCTTTGGTGTATCTGAATATACTTCGTGTTAGTCTGAGAAACTGCAGACATAGGAGCAGCTCTGAAAAACTGTCTTGTTGTAGAAGAAATTTACATCTATACCAGTAATCTAGATTTGTAGAAGTTACCTGTGTTAAGCAGAGGGCCGCCACAGGTCACTTATTACCTGAGAGCTTTTCATTTGCATGAAGACAATCTGCCACCCCGTAACTTATCCCCATCACACCCCAGAGTTCCAAGCCCCCATTCTTTTCTGTAGCTCAGGATGTCATATAAATTTCCGTCATCAGACTCTTGTTGCATCCCACAGTTTTTTTGATGTTCTTGCACGTGCTCATAATTAAAATTAATCTGTCTTATCTCAATTTCATTTGTAGCCCTGCCAAAGAACCTAGAAGCCATTTCCCTCCCCTGGCACTGGACTCACCCACAGCAGATTAAACTTTCCTGGCAGAACCATGACTAAACTGAATGAGTCAAGTGCTAGGCATGCAATCGTGAGTCCCTATGACTCAGATCTACGTGCGCAGGAAAATTCAGAGGCATAGTGGTTTACTTTCTTACCTCATCACATTTTCTTTTTTCATTTTCCAGTTGTTTAAGTAAGGCCTCTTGTTGCTGAGAATTGGTCATTTCCAACTGACTCTCTTTCTCCTGTAAGGTTCTCACTTGCCTTTGTAGTTCATTTACATTCTGATCAAGGAGTTTCCTGAAGACAGTTAATGTCCGTTAAACCATACTGTATATTGCCACGTTTTGCAAAGAAAGTTAGACCTAAAATTTGTTTGCCATCATAGTTTTAAATTCAGGAAAGTAGGATGTGTGTCCATAAAAAAAAGGGGGAACCTCCATTATGACAGAACCTCTTCTTAGTGATCCCTCTCACTATCAAAACAATCCCATGAGGAAGAAATACTTTTCCTTATTTCAGAGATGAGGAAAACGTGGCCCAGAGAAGAGCTAGGACAAGGCAGAAGTAGAGCTCTAATTCTGGATCCCATGTGCATTTTTTCTCATTGCTTTACAGACTGAGCCCTTGATCTTGTGAGTTCAAACTAGGATTGGCAGCTACAAACACTATCACTGAATCATGAATGAACCTACATTTGATGAAATAATTTACCCTTTTTCCAAAACACTGTCTCTTTCTCTGTCTCTCTGTCTCTGTCTCTCTGTTTTTGAGACAGTCTTACTTTGTAGTTCAGGCTGTACTGGAACTCATGTTGATCCTTCTGCCTCAGCCTCCTGAGTGCTGAAGTTACAGGTGTGTGTCACAACACACAACTCTTAAGAGTGGGCCTCAGGGCTGGGGATTTAGCTCAGTGGCATAAGCCTGAGGTCTGAGTTCAATGCCTGATACCAAAAAAAAAAAAAAAAAAAAAAGTGGGTCACATTAGACTGGTTTGTGGAAAGAGATTCAGAGGAACTTTTGAGGATTTCAGAACAAAGTTTACTGAATTTAGGAGATTCATCTTGAAGAATATGATGATGACAATGAAGAATTAGTATTGGTGAACAAAATTCTCACCTCTATACTAGGTTAGAGGTTAACATATTATCACTGGACAAGTAAGTTTGCTTTCTCCAACTTTAGCATTCTGGGAAACTGTTATGGTTGATGCACTTTTTCAATTTGAGAAGTTTAGAGGTTTAAGGAAGAGACTCAGCAGGGAGCCTGGCTTCTTGCTTTGTAAACAGTCCCATTCTATGCAGGAGGAGGGCAAGGGTATTTTGTGAGTGCTACACTGACTCTGGAGGTTATATATTGTATACAATATAAAGGAGGAAAAGAGACTTTTTCTTCCCCTCTTTTGCTCTGACTGCTTTTTCTGGTTGCTGTGTTGAAGTGTTGCCCTGGTGCCATGCCACCTTGACTTGGAGCCAGCTGAGTATAGACTAAAACCTTCACAAACAGTGAGCTAAATAAACCTTTTCTTTTTTCATTTTGGGTGTCAGGTATTTTGCCCAAGTAATGAGAGAAAGTAACCATTTTTCAGAAGATTTATATCTGAGACATGGGTTTATATTTCTTCACCTCTAGTTCTCATGTCTCTTGATAGACGCCCAAGCTTGCTAAGGATTACTGTAGCTGGCTTTCTACCGTTCCCACCCATCCTCATCCCAACATTCCTTCTGTCATTTCTGTTTTAACTAATTTATTGTGTGCATATCTGAGCAATTTCCTGCTTTTATTGCCTTCTTTTCGGTTCTATTTTTAGTTTCTGATTAAGGAACCACACTAAGATGTAAGCCTTGGAAGTTGAAAACCGAAATTCAAAAGCAGGAAGTCCAAATTAAAACAGCAGCTTACAAATTATGTTAGAAAATAGTTCACACATTATATAGCTTTAAAAATTAGCCTAATAGAAATTGCCATTTGATACGACACCTGTTTTCCCTATTGACTGAGCTTCCTTTCCAAATTATTCTTTACATGGCAGCCAGTGTTCCTCCAAATTTTGACCTAATTATCTTTCCCTCTCTTTCTCTGCCTCTCTCCTTCCTCTCCCCTCCCTTCCGTGCTCCTTCCTACTCTTCCTCTGCCTCCCCATCTTTGTGCCCTTCTTCTTCTGCTCTTCTTCTTCCTTCCTCTTCCTCCTCTTTCTTCTTCCTCTTCCGAGCCCTCCTATTTCCTCCTCATCTTTTTTTTCCTGCTGTTCCTGTCTCCATTCCCTCTCCCTCCCTTCCTGTGTTTCTCAGTGCTGGGATTGAAACTAGGGCTATATACACACTAGCTAAGTACCCTGTCATGAGGTACATCCCCAGCCTTAGTGAGACAGGGATTTGGTCTTATGCAGTTGCAAGCGCTGATTTCATAGTCTGTATGGCTGTCATCTTTATGTCACATGCTGTAGCTTAAAGCCGGAGGACAACGAAGATGTGAAGACAAGCAGCTAGAATCCATGAGGATGGGTGGGAACCCAGGCCCGCTCTCACTGCCTCCACCCTTGATAAAGTAGATGTCCTACAAGAGAAACTGCCACCCCTGTCAAGGAGCTCAGTGGACACCTGGCTCAGGAGGACAAGTTGAAGGAGGATCTGGGGCAGATGGAGCTGTCATAGGCCTGGCTGTTGCCTCAGTGCCAAGGTCAGCGGCAGAAACGTGCAACACGTGTGAACTACAAAAGCACTTGCTCCAGCCTGCCAAGCATGAAAACCAAAATGCCTTACTTTTTCCCTTCTGCCCAAATATATCTCCTGTGGTACCCTCTAGCCAAGAATTCTTTATTGAGGGAATTCTGGGAAACATGTTTATCTTAGTCAAGTTGATACATTAAAAAAAGTGTTATTGTAATACTTGATGTTATTATTACTATCGTCATCTTCTTAGTAATGTGAGAAGAGTTCACTTGGCTACAACATGGGGGTCAGGAAGTGGTAAGAAAATGAGATTAGAAAGATAAAATAGGTTTGTGTCATGCAAACCTAACAAACCACTTTAAGGACTTTGGATTTGTTCATGAGAGATACTGGTCTGCAGCCCTCCCCCAGCCTGTCTCCCCCTCCCCCCTGCTGTCTTTTTGAGACAGAGTTTCACTGTGTAGTTCAGGCTGGCCTTGAATTGCAGTAATCCTCCTGCTTCAGCCTCCGGAGTGCTGGGATTACCAGCATGAGCCACCATGTCTGGCTGCCTTTCTAGTAATATCTTTATTTTGTTTTGGTATTAAAGTAGTACTTGCCTCAAACGTAAGTGTTAGAAAGTGTCCTCTTTCCAATTCTTCTATAAGAAACTGTAAGAAGTTATATTCTTAAATGTTTGGTAGAATTCAACAATGAAACCATCTGAGCCTGCTGCTTTACTTTGGGAAGGTTGATTCTATTTTTTTTCCTTGAGATTGGGGTCTTGCCGTGTTTTCTGGACTGGTGTTGAACTTGTAGTGTAAGTAATCTCTCCCACTGCAGGCTTCTGGGACTACAGATGTGTGCTCCCATGCCAAACAGGATTCAATTACTTGGGCAGACACTGAGTAGGCCTAGTATGATGATCTGTTTCTCTTAGTTTATGTCTTTCAAGGCATTGTTCTATTTCATATAAGTTATCAAATTTTTAGGAATAGGATTGTCCTTTAATATCCTTTTAATTTCCATAGGATCAGTCTATATAGCTCCTCTTTCATTTTTGGTATTAGTAATTTGTATATTTTTGGTTAAGCTAGAGTCTTTTCAAAGAAACATCTTTTGTTTTCATGGATTTTTCGCTATTAATTTTCTGTTCAATCTCATTGACTAGTACTCTCATTTTTATTGTTTCTTTTCTTTTGCCTGCTTTAGAGTTATAATGCTCATCTTTTTCTAGTTTCCTAAGGTACATGCTTAAGTCATTGATTTTAGATTTTTTTGCATTAATATATATATATACTCAATGGTAATAGTTTCCCTGCTTTCCCTGTATTCCACAAATTTTGTAAGTTGTATTTTCATTGTCATTTTAGTTCAAGATATTTTAAATTTCTCATGAATCATTCTTTGACTTGTGTTATGAAGAAATATGTTGTCTATGAATAGTTGAGATTTTCCTCCCTTTGTTACTGATTGATAGTCTTATAATACACTATCATTGTAAGCAACTGTACAGCAATCTGTTCCATAGTGTGATGGTTAATTTTGGTTGTCAGCTTGACGTTTGAAGGGTGCCTAAACATTGGGAAATGGGTGCCTTGTCGTGTCTGCACGGAAGATTGGTAAGTGGGTCAGTGAGCTGAGTGGGCAGGATCTGCCGTGAATGTGGGCCGCACCATCCGACAGGCAGGGGCCAGATGGAACAAAAAGGAGGAAGAACAGAGAAATTTGCTCTCCTACAGGCTCGGCTTTCTTTGTGTGGGACATTTTTTCTTGCTGCTGTCACCCTGTGGCATCCAACTCTAGGTTCTTCAGCCTTTGCATATGCTCTTGCACCAGCAGCTTTCCGGGGAGTCTCAGGACTCTGAACCTGGGGCTACATCCTTGGAGCCTCTTATTTTGAGGTTCTCAACTTCCAGGACAGAGCAGCGGCTGCTTTCCCCAGCTCTCCAGCCTGTAGATGGCCACTGTGGGGCCACCTGGCCTCTGCTTGCGTGAGCCAATACATTAAATCTCCTTTTATAATTAAGCATGTTCTATTGGTTCTATTTCTCTGGAAAAGCATAATATACTTATATATTCATAGATATAACACAAATTTAGGTAATATCTTCTATTTATGCTTTTGAGACAGTTTTACTGTTTCTCAGAGTGACCTAGAGTTCTGCGTTCAAGTGATCCTCCTGTCTCAGCCTCTTGAGTATCTGGGACTACAGGTGCCTGCCACTGTGCTTGGCCTAACACATTTTTTATGCTTTTTTGCTATTATGAATAATGCTCTAGTGAATATCTTGTATATGATATGTACTGTACACTAGAAAAAAATGTCTGGTAGGGGGAGTGACAAAAAAGAAAGGCTAGAATGGTAGGCTAACATGCAGAATCTAATAAGCCACAATGAACAGTTTGGACTTCTCCTTAAGAGTAATGGGGAGCTATAAAAGGATTTTTAAGAAATGTGAGTCACTCTGAATTGCATACAAATAAGAGGCCTTGGTCACTGAAGTCTAGGGTACCCAGGCATATGCTTTAAATGAGAATCATAATAATAACCATACTTTTAGAAAAAAAAAAAAACAGATGACAGCTCTTATCTGGTAGCAGTTTGTTGATTAAAATATGTAAACTGTATGTGTTGCCACATGCCTATAATCCCAATACTTGGAGGCTGAGGCAGGAAGATTGCTGAGAGCTCAAGACCAGTCTAGGCTACTTAAGGCCAGCCTGAACTACATAGCAGGACCCTATTTTAAAAAACCAAAAAACATGGCTATTTGAAAAGCATTAGTGGATAAATACAAAATACCAACCTCACTGTAGTTTGAATTTGTACCAATCATCAGACAGTTAGAAAAACAAATCCCAGAATATCATATTTTGTAGGCAATCTAGACAATCGAGAAAATTTACCTGTGCACCAGGTGTGTCCCAAAACAAGAAGAAAAAAATCTCGAGGAATCCCACACACAGGTGCCAGAGTCAACCAAAATAAATAAATAAACAAACAAACAATTAGTTTGATTACAGTAAGTGCTGAAGACAAGAAGTGCATAGATAAGAAGTGCAAGATAAGTGCAGGTGGGTCTACTTCAACAAAGACAGAACACACTGAATTAAAGGACATTGGTCATGAGCTCAGTTTTGCTCAGACCTCTGCAACACTGAGCTGGCTCTCTACTCCTACCTCTTCTGCTGTTCTTCCTCATACTGCTGCTTTAACTTAGCTTCATTTTCTATTGCTGCATTGATCTTTTCCTCCAGTTGCTTCTTCATCAAAGTACAAGTGTCTGTAAGACAGACGTTACGAGCATGTTCTAATTTCTGCTGCAGGTCCAAAATCTTGAATGAAAACATTTACAACCAAAATTTTAGGATTAGTGTGACCATTTTTTTGAATTAGAGAAACAGCATATCACTGTATAATATAACATTATGTATATGCAAACCTGACCAAGTAAGAAGTATGGCTACTTTTTACTTTAAAATAAACTATTTAATATTTGCTGTGTATTAATACATTCATATAATTCAGTGTTGGCATATATATAATTGGCATTCATATAATTCAATGTTGGCATATAAAAGAAGCTATTTAGTGAAAAGAATCCTTTCCCTCCTCATCCCATTCCTTTCCAGTTTTCTTCTACCAGATATGTAACCATTACTATTCAGGTTTTCTAACCTTCCAGAGATTTTTTTTCTGCAAATATTTCTTCTGGAATACATATATATATTTTTACAAATATGATATAGTTATCCTCCATACACACAAAAATCTTATATAAATAATGACATGCTGTCTATGATTATATACTTTGTTTTTCAAAACAACTACATACTTAGTGTTTTCCATACTCTGTCTGCACAAAGAGTTGTCTCCTCTTTTACAATTGCATACCACACTACTGTAAGGATATATCGACCTTTCTTAACCAGCCTCTTACTGAGGGACTTGATTCCAACTTTTTGCTATTACACATAATGTCTGTAGGACAAATGACAGGATACAATTTTCCAGGGCAAAGACTGTTAGAATTACTTGTGAAGTTACACTGAGTATCCCTTGAGATATATAGCTGTACAACATTGAATTATATGAATGTGTTAACATACAGCAATGAAGCTTCGCTTGCATAACTACCTCCTAGACCAGGAAATAGAATACTTCTAGCACCATGGAATATGTCTCCAGGCATGCCTATTCTTAGTTTATTCACCTTGTAAAGATAACCATTATCCTATATGCACGGCTTACTTTAATTTTTCAGTATCAGGGATTGAACCCAAGGAGCACTGATCTACATCCCCAACTTTTTTATTTTGAGATAAGGTCTTAGCATGTTGCCCAGACTGGTTTCAAACTTGGTCTTCACGTTGGATTTTTAAAGTTTAATCTAGATTGCTGTTACTATCTTTTTGATATCTATTTGATTAAATAATTTTTGGTCTAAGATTTGCTCTTGTAGCTATTGTGTGCTACTGCCACCTGGTGTTAGGCAATCTAAAACACAAAGGGAATATTTCAAAATGTTTCATTTTATAACTAAAATCTCTCTAAAAATTTACACAATTAAAAGAATCATACAAACAACCAATCCCAATGAGAGGAAAATAAGTCATTTGCAGCTTGAAAATGTATAGCAGCTAGTTCCTGTAATTCACACCACAGCCTTAATGAAACTTATACAGTTCATGCAGTTTTTAAAAAGCATATAAGACTTTACTGGAACTGAAGGAACAGGCAAAATCAAACAGCAAGAAAAGAAATAGAGGGGAGTAAAAAACTTAGTATTCTATCAGGTTTGTATTAGTTGTAGCTAGTTCTTAAACGTCTTTGGGAAATAGGGTTTAGTAGTAGTACATTTGGAACATGCTGGTGATTAAGCATGAGGATGCAGTAATTACCTTTCCCTCTGCCTCGGCAACTTTTGATTTTTCCTGAGCCAGCTTTTCCTGCAGGTAGCTCTGTGATTTAATGCTCTGAGCCTGCTTTAGACCTTCCAGCTCCAATTCCTTGATTTTCTGCTGACTGTGCTTCCACTCTGCCGTGAGAGAGCAGCACACCTTTGTGTTGTCTAGCAACTTCTGCTGGGCCTGCTTTAGTTCAAGTTTGATCTAGAGGAGGGAGATAAATAAGAGTGATAAACATAAGCACAGAGCGAATGGAAATGTGAGCCAGAGTAAGCATCTTTCAGACACTGAACATAGCTGTTAGCCTCTCCAGCAGCCATGCATTAATGAGGCTTGAGGCAGTTCGTGAAGTCAGGGTGCAGCTGAACAAAGGGATTTTCTCAAGAGTTTCTACTTTTGCACAGCCTAAATGTTTTCCTATCCGTTCTTTAATTTACTTCAAAGTGGCTTTCATCTCTACAAGTCAACCTAACTGTTTATACCAATGGTCACCGCACTGCCAAAATGAGCCCTCTGTGCAAGATTTCAGAGTAGCACTCACTCCTCCGTCTCAGGAAGTCCTGCCCTCCTGGCAGAGGACACCAACCTCCCCTGGTTGTCACTTACTTCTCTGTAACCTTCTAACTGCCAAAATTAAACCCTTGATTCTGCCCATATATCGAAGGTCATCTTCTTTCAGTCTTCCTGATTTTAAGAAATAAACCTTTTGTGTGGGCCAGAAACCAGAAAGTCACCCTTGACTGCTCCATTCCCATCACTTTATACATGTTGCCACTCTGTCCCCACAACTACTTTGCAGCAATCTCTTACAGTCATTTTTGCTAGCATCATAGTCTAGATCAGTGATGGCAAAACTTTTAGAGGCCAAGTATCCAAAGTACAACCCAAAATACATTTATTTACCATAAAGTGCCAATACTGCAGGTAAACCTAAATACTGAAGTTTTAGTTTAGAAAAAACAACCGTTGTCTAATGCTTGGCTGCTGAGGCAACTTGGCTCGCTCACTGACAGCGTTCTGTGTGCCTGCCCTAGCACACATGTGTGGGTTCACCATCATGGGTCTAAACCATCATCTGCAGCCCGGACTCTGGCAAAACTTCCTCCCTGCCCTGGTCATTTCCATTTAAAATTTATTCCCATCTGATCTATTCTTTATGTTGCAGCCAAAGCATTCTTTTAAAAACACAAATTAATTTTGATTCCTTCACTTAAAATCTCTCAGTGACTTCTTGTTACTCTATGAACAAATTCTATCCGTTCATCCTGCCTTGTATAACCCAGCCGCTGCCTGTCTCTGTAAAACCGTCTCATTATTTCCTCCTTTCCCACTGAACTCCTGTCATGCTGGTTTCTGTTTTGTTTCCAACACACTTCCATTTGCTACAAATGCTTTCCCTTTTTGTATGGTTGCCTGCCTGTTCTTTAAGTTACGTCACTTTGCATGTGAAAATTTTCACTGTCAATTTAATTTGAAAATGTCGCCTTGTTGTGATATCACACCACATTTATTTCATTCAATGAGTTTATCAAAAGGGCAAGTATTGCCCTTCTTCCTCAATTTAAATTCCAAGAGCAGGGACCATGTTTTTATTTACATCTCAATACTCCTGGCCTATTGAAGACATATTAGTGAGCAGATGAATATGCACAGGATCCTATTGGAATAAGAAGGCCCAGTGAAAACGTGTACTAGGCAAGGAAGGCTGACAGATAAAAATGTTGAGGCGGGTGGACTTTGTCCACATGGGAAATAGAGGTCCTTGGTTTTAAAGCTTTTTAGTTGAATTAATGGAGATTATAATTATAATATGTCTCTCCACGTGACTTCTGTGTGGTAACCAATCGGTATCTACAGAGTGACTTTTAACGTTACTAGTGTTCAACCTCTTGAGAGCACCAGTTTCTATTTCACCTGTAACAACTACTCACCTCGCAGGATAGCTGTGCGGCTACCTTAAATTAAAATTTAAAATAATTAAAGCCCAAGAATGGGGTCAGACACACAGAAAACACCTAATAAAAGTTAACTGTTAATCAAGTAACACTTGTAGAATATCTACTATATTTTAAGCATTGAATTAAGGTATTATTATTACTATTTTATACTTCTTAGATTTCTACATGTATAAAATGGCTGGGCTTGGTATTATATACCACTTTAGCAATGAAATACTGAACCTTAAACAAAGTTGGGAAGTGAAAAAGTCAGAAATGGCCAAGATATCCTAGAACAAGAAAAACAAGGTGAAAAATATCTTTTCCATTAAATATCAATATTTATATGACTCTAAAGTAACCAGTATAGTCAAGACTGTGGGGAAGCTTAGAAGAGATAAAATGGACAAAATATCAATAAAAAGTAGTTAACGTACATGATATTATTTAGGGATCAGACATCCAGAGGGAGATTTAAAAGAGGAAAAGAAAAACCTCTTTGGATCAAGATATTATTACTGTCCATATTTATTTCATTTTTACAATGAGATCTATTTATCCCTGAGACCAAGGTGGGAAAACTTTTCTCCTAAAGGGCCAGGCATAGAATATTTCAGACTTGTGGATCATGTAGTGTGTCACAACTATTTAAATCTGCTTTTGTAACATAAAAGCAGCCATAGATAACATGTGAACTAACAAACATGGCTGTTTGACAATAAAACTTTATTTACAAAAACAGGAGGCAGGCAGGATCCTGTGTATAGGCTGAAGATTTCTGGCCCAGCACCAGGCAATCAAGGACTGTGTCTCTTCTGCTTACTGTTAGTCCTCAGGGTCTACAAGAGTCCCTGTGTGGCATATTCAGTTCTTATTCACTGAATGTCAAATTCCAGAACCTTAGGGGCTCACAGAAACCAAGTCTTTATATATATTTACAAAAATATTAAATCAGTATATATTACCATTATAATTTACCATAATTAAAAGGAGATAGTACTTTACGAGGTGGTTCACTTTAAACATTATATATATTTGTGGAGGACAATGAAATTTAGGGAATGATTTTAGATGATGATTTCAAAAGACTGTGCAACTTTAAAACCTTTTCTGAGCTGGGTGTGATAGCAAACACCTGTAATTCCAGCACTCTCCTAGCCTGAGGCAGAAGGACAAATTTAAATCCAGCCTGGGCATCTCTCTCTCCCCCCTCCCCTCTCCCCTCTCCCCTCCTCCCCTCACCCCAAGCAGCATACATACTCCTCAACAGCAGAGAAATAACAAAGCCCTGTTTTCATTTAGGAGGCAACAGCTAACAGAGGAAGTTGCCATGTAGCTTATTGTCCACCTGTCCATGGGTCCCATCATGAATTATAATGTTGCGGAATCTATTGATTCATTTACTCTCAGGGACCGCAGAGACCCTTCAAAAAAGGCTGTGCTGCTGCTACACTTACCTTAATGCTCTCTTCCTCAAGTAAGCTATTATGCTGCTTTAAGTCCAAGTTCTTCCCTTTCTCATATTGAAGCTCTTTTTCAGCTGAGTTGCAAAGGATTTGGAGCCGACGCAAATTCTGGCGAAGTTGTTGTAGTTCCTCTTGCTGCTCATAGTTTAGTTTTTCTCCAGATGATACATACTGAAGCAAACATTTTAACAGAGAAACATGTTTGAAACAATATTGACAAAACATGAGTTCAAGCTGTGAGAACTTGTCAGAAGGAATGTTTCGCATGTAAAGCTTTTTGGAGTTAGCTTACCTATAACAAATTTACACTTATGGCTAGTTGCTTATGTTTACGTCATTTACTAACTGTTAGGTTAAACTGACACCTCCAGGGAAATTATGGGAACAAATGTAGTAAGGTATACGGTGCTTTACCTTATCTTTCCATGTCAGGAAGGAAGGGCAGAAAGAAGCATGGAGACTTTAAAGCAAAACATTCCTTAGTGGGGAATCTTGGAGTCAATGTGTAAACTTGAGTTGTAGCATGTGTGTGTGTACATGTGCAGTGTACATGTGTACACATGCAAGTGTGTTTACTGGCAAAAAGAGAAAATTTAGAGAGAGTGAGTTTCAGTTTTTAGCCTTCTCCCTCGGTTTCCTTTTGACACTTGATGATTCTTCTCCAGTTCCCGCTACACAGCAGTACATTTTAAAGGCTGAATTGTATTCCACTGCTTTATAGTATCTATGTTTCATTTTCTGTATCCATTCATCTGTTGATAAACACTTAGGTTGAGTCTATAACTGTAAATGAGGCTCCAATATAATGGGAGTCAGGTGGTATCTCGGTGTTTTTGATTTATATTTCTCTGGTAATTAGTGGTGTTGAACATTTTTTCATATACTTTTGGGCTTTTGAATGTCTTCTCCTGAAAATGTGTATTTGGGTCCTTTGACCATTTAAATATATTTTTTTAATTTAAAGAGAACAAAACCCAACAAAAACAAACACAGAACAAAGCCAATCAAAACAAAGCAGTGAAAGTGGTACAGAATTCAAAACAGGATAATGGAAATCAACAATGGCTGCCATAGTATATCTTGCTATCCTCACAATAGTTGTCCATACCATCACACAAAATCAAACAAAACAATAAATCAGAACAAAACAAAACAGTGAGAACAATATTGCACATTGTTATTTTCAAAATAGTTGCTCAGGTTACCAGATGCAGGAATAAGACAAAACAGTAAAATGGAACAAAGCATTGGATTTCAAAAACAAGACAGGAGGAAATCCCCCACAGCTGACACTGTGTACACTGCCATCCTCCAGGTGGAAGCCTAGACCACCAGCCCCAGGCCTGCAGAGTGGACCAGGCAGTACAGGCATGGAGATAGTCCCTTCCCCTGCTGCTATCATTTCACTGTGAGTCCTCTCATCGGCGGGGTGCCAGGGTGGGGAATGGTCTTCTGGTTTTTCAGCCCGCACTTGGGTGGCTCAGGGGAAGGCATGGTTTCTCTTCTGGCTGAGGCTCTTTCTGAGTCACATGGCAGAGTCTGCTTTACAGGAAGGCCCCTTTGACCATTTTTAAATCGAGTTGTTTTCTTGCTATTGAGTGGTTTGTGCTCCTTGTTTTGGATATAAATTCTAACCAGATGTATTTTTGAAAATGTCTTCCCCAAATCTGTAGGTTGTCTTCCCCAAATCTGTAGGTTGTCTTTCCACTGTGCAGCTTCCTTTGGTACGCAGGTTTCTACTATGATGTAATTCCACTTGTCAAATTTTGCTTTTTTGTTTTTATGTTGTTTGTTTTACTTTGTTTGTTCATTTGTTTGAGACAGGGGCTCACCATGTGGTCTAGGCTGGTCTTGAACTTGCAATGATAGTCCTACATCAGCCTCCTGAGCATTGGGATTATAGGTGTGTGTACACTAGCAAATTTTTGCTTCCGTTACATGTGCTTTAGGTGCGATAGCCTAGCAATTTTTGCCAAGACCCATGTCAAACTTTTTCCCCAAGTATTCATCAACAGAAGAATAAAGAAAATGTGGTATAAGCATATACAAGAGGATGCTGTTCAGTCTTTAAAAAGAAAGAAATCCTGACCCTTGCCACAACATTGATGAACTTGGCAGACATTATGCTAAGTAAAGCAACCCAGGAACAAAAAGGCAAATACTACATGACCTCACTTGCATGTGAAACCTGGAAAAGTTAAACTCATGGTAACAGAGAATAGAACATAGTGGTTGACAGAAGTTGCCTGGGGGTCATAAAAATGAAGATTTTGATCAAAGGGTACAACATTTCAATTGGGATAAAAACATTTTAAAGATTCGTGTCACAACATAGTGACTGCAGCTGTGATACTCTGTGTTTCATACTTGAAAACTTAGGAACAGTACTGTTCTCATCACATACAAATAATAAGTATTTGAGGTGAAAAATAGGTTAATTAGCTTGGTTAATCATTTCACAATATATTCATGTGAGAACACAACACATTATATCCTATAAATAGGTGCAACTTCTATTGTGAATTATATCTTAATAGAGCTGAAAAATACACACGCATAAAACAACAGCCGGTCGTGGTGTTGTATACCTGTAATATCAGCACTTGGGAGGCTGAGGCAGGAGGATTTTTGCAAGTTCGAGACCACCCTGGGCTACAAAGTGAACTTAAGCCCGGTCTGAACTGCATAGCAAGACCCTGTCTCAAAAAGACAAAAGAGAAAGAAAGAAAGAATTCCCCATGTCTTGTTAGTCCTTCAGTTTCACTTTGGTTGTGAAGAGTCAGAAAGGCAAACCTAAATCCAATTTACTTGTGTAAGAGCTGAACATCTCTAATATCCCTAAGGAAAATTCTTTAATGGACTGTAATGCAATTAAGTAGAATGCTAGTTTCAATCTTGTCTCTACGGTTTACTAATTGGGTGATCTTGGAAAGGTACTGAGGTTCTCTGTGTTTCAATTCCTTCGTTTTAAAGTGAGGACTATGACGATAACCGCTGGGCGAAATGAGGACCACGTGTGAGCCAGCAGGATGCCTGACAGACACCTCATGAGCACTCAGTGATGTCACCCGTTATGGCTGATGTGCCTAACCTGCCTTTGACTGCCTTCATCGTCCATCTGCAAACAATCTGAAACACGCTGGCCACCACTCTAGGCTTCTTGTTTAACTTTTATACAGCATCAGTGAATACTTAATCAGTCATCAGAAGCCTACAGAACCATTTACTCTACCAAAATACAAACATGCAAGAGAAGCACCCCATTTGAACCAATGGCACAAGTTTTGGTCTGTTTTGAAAATTAGAAAAGTCAAGAAAAATAGTTCTTCCTATTTATATTTTCCAGTCCAATCATTTTGCCAGAGTAGAAATGATTTTCTTTTTAGTTTTGTGTTTTAGAGACAGGCCCTCCCTATGCAGTTCATGCTGGCCCTGAATTCATTGTGCACCTCATGCTGGCTTCAGACTCTTGGTGATCCTCCTGCCTTAGCCTCCTGAGTGCTGGTATAATAGGCGTGGGTCACCACACCCAGCAAAAATTTTCAATAAAGTCAATTACTGAGGCAGCTACCAGTCAGTCAGTCAAACAACTAACACCTTTAAAGAATCTAGTTTTCCTACTCCATAAATCAGCTTACTGGTATAAAGTTATTACAGGAGGACATGAACTCATTCAAGCTGCTAGAAAGCATGTAAGAGTGCGAAGAAAATACAATAGGTGTTTCCTGGATCAAGCAACAAACTTACTAGCCAGTTACCCTCTTAAGCCTTCAAACTTAAATTCCTTAAAAATTAAAATAAATTGGAACTAGCCAGGCATGTGGCATATTCTATAATCCTAGAACTTGTGAGGCTGAGGCAAGAGTGTCACTGAGTTTGAGGCCAGCCTACGGTACCTGCAAGGCCGTGACAACCTTCCCCCTACCAAAAGTTGTTACTAACAATATCTTAATTTTACAGGCTTTTACTATTAAAAAAATAACAATCCAATACAAACCTGGTTCCCATCACCAGTGCAATTGTTTTGTGGAACTAAGTGATGACCACTGGCTTTAAGTATTCTCATCCAGTAGATGTGGATGGGCTGGGATATCAAATGGGTACCATTACATGTATGAGCCAGCAAGCTAAGTCCACTTGTTCTGACTTCATATTCATCGAGCATGATGATTTTGAACTGACTTTCTCAGTACTCTTCAGGGAGAAAATACACTGTTCATGGAAATGTGCTCGGGGGATATTTTAAATTAATTACTACAAAAAATAACTAATTCATATTCTGATTTTATCCACTAGCTTTGAAAATGTGGTAAATTTTATTTTTTTTCTAGAGATGTTTTAGTTCATCTATTGTAGATGAGCCAAAACCTGAGTGAATTTACTGACACTGTCCCAGGGTTTTTTTGGGAGGGAGCTTGCCAGCCTTCTTTGGAGTACCAGCTTACGTGGGAACTCTGTGTTTTCTCTGAAATTTTTTAAGCAAGGAGACGCAAGTGGCATAGCAGTTAAAGACTAAGCTCTAGAGGAGACAGACCAGCATTCCAATACTTTCTCAGTGTGGCAAATAATGTGCCCGTTCTGAGCATATTATCTAATTTTTCTAAAGCTTCAGTCTCCTTACTTATGTGGTGGCAACAATAATTTCCCTGTCTTCTTGTGCTGCATAATATACATGGCAGTCAGCATAGCACCTACAGTACAGTAAATACTAAAATGCTAGGAAAAAACATTAGTTTGTTTAATGTTTGAGAACATTCCTTTTTCTTTTCTTTATTAATATATGTTTGCAATACATATACATATTGCATCTTAGTCCTCATCTGCCCATTTCCCTAAATCCTCTCCCTATTTCTGGATAAAGTCTTCTTTACTGTTTGCTACCATCTATACTTTATCATGTCCTTTAAGTTATTTATACTTTGGGTTTCCTCATATAAGAAAAATCATGTGATATTCAACCTACTGAGTCTGATTTATTTCGTTTAGCTTTGTGGTTTTAAGATATAGAGGACCACCAGAACGGCTCTCCTTGAATAAAGAGGAATTACCTCCACCTGCGCTGACCCTGGCCCCATCGCCATGTACTGCTATGTACAGAGCAGGTTAACTATTTCCTTTTCCCTTCAGTTGGTTCTAGGGCTAGCTGAGATATGGATGTGTAATCTTCAAAGCCAAGCAACAGCACCATTTCCTTGCCTGTGTCTCCTTTTAAACGGTTGAGCTCAGCAGGATGGCAAAGCCAACAGCTCCAGGATTGTCAAATGGGTTTAAGCCTCAAGCTAAGAGGCTATGACCTCCCAGGGCAGAAAAAGTGTGCATGTCAGAACTGAAGCAGTAAGTGTTACCTCAGTTATGTTCTGCAGATTGGTCTTTTTGTATACCCTTCTCTGCATTTGCAGAGGTGCCTTCTGGCCTTAAGCTTAGCTAGCTCAGCTCACAGGACTCACGTAGTTCCCGCCATTCTCATTGTCACTCATCTCATTGAACCACTCCCTTCTTCAAGAATTAATAAATTCCACGTTAGGCCCTGGGTAGAGGCTTTTGTTCTGTGAACTCTCATCTGGACAGGACTCAGAACCCCTTGGCTTCCTGATCTGTAAATATGTCTTAGTGTCTTTATTCTCACTTTATTGCACTGGAGGTCGTAGATTGGAATGAACTCAGGGGAGTTCCAATAACGTTTCCATGGGATTACAATATAAATTTGTCAGGCTGCGAGGAGGATGGGAAAAGGGATTTCTATATTAAGATACATCTGTTTTCCTATAAATGATTTGAATTTGTCCTTTTTTATGCCTGAGTGGTATTACATTGGGCATATATACCATATTTTCTTTATCCATTCATCTGTTGATGAACATATAGACCATTTCCAAGATTGAGCTATTGTGAATTGTGTTGCTATAAACATGGGTACGCATGCATCACCGTAATATGTCTTTAACTTTTTTGGGAAGATACCCAGAAGGGGAATAATTAGATTGACTGGAATTTTTTAATTTTTTGAGGAATAGGATGGAATCTCAGTGTTTTTCAGATATTATTTTTCTAGTGGCTATAAACGGTAGGTTTTAAGCCAATAAAATTAAGATAATGCTGCTTTCAGCTTGTATCAAGAATATTGTGAAAGTAACATCTAGACTTCAGCTATCTGGCAAGCTCACTTGGAATAGTGTTGAAGAGCAGAAATGAAGCCCATGAAGACCATCAGCAGCCATAAATGTCACAAAGTACTTGTGAACAATACTAATCAGATCGTTGTTTATAAAAGGCTCTCATGTTTGTTTTTCTAGTATTTACTATTTGCAAGCATTCTTTAAGTGTGTCATCTGGCTCAGCCTATCATTGTTTAAATATGAACATCATGCAGATTAAAGAAGATACAGCAATATGATAGATACTATACTCTGATGATGGGGTGAAGACCAAAAGCCTCCACACACATACATATGAACTAAAAAACGCAATAATCTATAGTCAGGTAAAAGAACACCATGCAGAGAAATGTTTCTGAAATTATCATTGCACAGAACATGGTAGGAAAAATATCTGTCCAAAACGTATTTTTCTTGATTTCTTGACTAAAGAAGTAAATGAAACAATATGTGCAACAATTGCATGGGAAATCTAAAGTTCACAATACAAACATTTTTTTTAACAACCACTATTTTTTCCTCTCAGGTTCACATCTATTTTGTTTATTACTATTTGTGCTTCAACACAGGCTGACACATCATAGTTAATATTGGTTTAGTACATGAATAGGAGCAACTTCAAATTTTTCTCAATAATTCATGGTAATTATTATGAAAAAACAATTACTTAGCTAGGCCAGCATTCAGTGAAACCCTAAAAGGCCATGTGGTAGACAGAACTATTTTTCCTTCTATAAAGTGTTATCCTCCCAAGGTTCTATGGGACATTATATATTTCAAAGTTTTTCACTGGGTGTTGAAAGTGAGTTGCAAATAATGGGGAAGAGTTATTAAAGAAAATCAATAAATTAAGCTTTTGTCACCTTTTCTACTATAAATTGCCCTGTAAAAGTTTACCAATATTTGAAGCTCCAAAGCAAAGACTATATAATCTTTGTGAGCACATGCTCAGACCTCTGAAATTGGCCAAGTGTCCCATAAAGCAGTGGTCCCCAACTGTTTTGGCCCCAGGGACCATTCTGTGAGACACTTTTTTATGGGCACAAGAGAGTGGTTTCTGTATTAAGAGTCTCACAACAGTATTAAACCTACGTCCCTGCCTGTGCAGCTCGTAGTAGGGTTTTCACTCTATGAGAATGCCAGAAAGGAGCTCAGGGGGTTCTGTGAGCAGCGGGGAGTGGTATAAATATGGCTTCGTTTGCTGCCCGTCTCTGCCGTGCAGCCCAGTTCCTAGCAGGCCCTAGCAGGCCACGCACCACATCAGAACTGGTGGCATGAGCATTGGGGGACCCCTGCCATAAAGGAAGTACAAAATTAGCCTCTTCTTGGACATTTGTTGTCATCCTCTTCTTCCCTTTTCTGAAAAAAGTCCAGTGACTCCCATTCCTTCCAAATATGGATCTGAATCTCCTTTTAGACATAACATTTTCCTTGTTTACTGTGACTTCTCTGGTTTTCAAACTTAGTATCCAAATCTCTTTTTAAAGATATCTTGACTTTCTTTTGAAAAAGGATACGCTTGAATCATTTTTCAAGGGCATATTATCAAATTTTTGATAGTGATTTACTTATGAGTCTTAAGGTCTTTCTCAACCTGGAAATAATTTCACAAAAGGTGTATATAGGAAAATATTAATTTGCTTAAAGAAGGACTTGTAAAATTAAGAATCAAAATGTGGTTAGTAGTCAATCCCTTTATTTCTTCTGCAGGCAGATCTGTGCCAAATACCAAAAGCCATGTTTAAAATAACTTTGTTTGAGAACTTTTCCCCCCTGCTAAAATGAAATACTTTATACACTAAACTACATACCAGGGGTAGGGAAGGTGGCACATAACCTGCCATGCTCTATCCCACTTGCCCAGGGCAGATGAATCATTAATCAGCATTTTTTTCTTGCAGAGACTAAATGGGCCTTAAGAACCTTTTAGTAATAAAGTAAATTCATTTTTAAGTTTAGTTCAGGTTTTAGTGGCTATTTCATTATTATTCAGGTGATGGTTATATTATTGCTTAGCAAATAACCATTGATGATGATGTTTTAAAGGACGCTAATATCCACAGGTGATCATGGGTAATGGGCCGCACCTACCTGGGCGCTACTGTCATCTGAGCTATCCCCAGAGTTCTGGGATGCAAGGAGGCTCTGACTCACAGAGCTCAGCTCTTCTCCAAACCTTTCAACTTCCTGACGCTTCTCAGTCAACTGTTGCTCTTCATCTTTCACAGCACAGTCCTGTTGTGAGTCCTCCTCCTTCTGCCCCTCACTGGGAAAAGTGCCCTCCTTTACAGATTCCTCTGGGCTTTCTTTCTGCTTACTTTCTCCTAGCACAGGACTATGGTGCAAATATAACAATAAAAAAAAATCAGAGTGCTTGTTATGACAGCAGAACAGGAAAGGAAAAACCTACAAGTCAAGAAAGTAGTGCAAACAAGATTTTTACCTTGAATTTTTTAGCAGAACAGCTTTTTTTCTCCCAAAAATTTTACGGTAAGTTTTATTTTCTATTCACATTCAAAGAAATGGTCCATCACAGAGATTTTTTATTTATCTTTTTTTTGTCTTTTTCATTTTTATCGGTACCAGGGATCGAACTCAGGACTGCCTGCTTGCAAGGCAGGCGCTTATGCCGCTGAGTTAAATCCCCAGCCCCTTATCACAGAGATTTTTGTTTGTAGCTATACAACCAGTTTAAATGAGTTTTATACTTTTTCAACTTTTGGAATTATATTGGGCAGACACAGGTTATAAAGATTTGAAACAATTAATCAATAAGCATTTGGCATTTTGGTAGGCACCAGGACTACAATAATAAGTAATCTATGACCTAAGGAGCTAGTAATTAAGTAGGAAATAGGGCCAGGGATTTAGCTCACGGGCATAAGTGCTTGCCTGGCAAGTGCACGGTCGTGAGTTCAATCCCCTGTACCTCCTCCCCAAATAGGGCCAGAGCTAGGCATGGTGACACATGCCTTTATCCCAGCACTTGGGCAGGGGGATTGCCACAAGTTTGAGGCCAAAGGGAGTTCACGACTAGTCTGAACTGCAGAGTGAGACCCTGTCTCAAAAAAAAAAAAAAAAAAAAAAAAGATCAATCTAACAGAGTGTTCTGATTTCAATCTAAAGTCATTCCTTCCTAGAATGAGGAAGATTTCAGCTTAAATGGAAAAAGGCAACATACACACTGAGACTGAGATGCTGGAATTATCTGACAAAGATTTTAAATCAGCCATCATAAAAATGCTTCAATGGACAATTGAAAACCTTCTAAAAACAAATAAAAAATAGAACCTTTCAGAAAAGAACATTCTATGAAGAAAGTGATGGTACAAAGAGTCAAATAGAAAATTTAGAACTGAAAAATATAATTACCAAAATTTAAAAGCCAGAAGATGGGCTCAGAAATAGGATGGAGAGAATAGAGAAAAGAATCAGTGAACTTGAAGACAGAATCATTGAAATTACCCAATTCAGAAAAATAGAAAAAACAGTGGGAAAAAATGAACAGAAACTCAAGGATCTGTGGTATATAACAAAAGATCTTCTCCTGTGTTATTGGATCTTAGAAGCAAAGGAGAATAAAGGCAGAGCTGAAAATTACTCAGATAATGATTGTAAACTTCTGCACAGACATAAAGGAGACAGGGGCCTTGGCATCACTGCCACATCCCTCTCACTGTGTCAGTGCTCCGTGTGGCCACATCCTGGGGTACACATCAACAGCAACCGCCTCGCTGCTGAAATACTGAATTAGGCTCCAATTTTCTTTTTATTTGATACAATTTTTTCTTCTTCCATCGTCCAATTTTTTCTGGATTCCAATTTTTTCTTGTTACACAGTTTGTTCCCAGGGTGGAGTAAGTGTCTTCAATTTCTTCCCCCTACTGATAGGTCTCTGCCTACCTTTCCATTCTCAGCATTTCAGGCTCCCTTTCTTCTCCTCACATTCTACACTATGAATCACTGTTAGGACCTGAAAAGAATCCTGCTTTCTCTCTCCCTGAAAGTTACCTCCCTTCTTTTTGGCTTCACTCTTTTTTTTTTTGTCTTTTTCCTTTTTATCGGTACCAGGGATCGAACTCACGACTGCCTGCTCGCAAGGCAGGCGCTTATGCAGCTGAGCTGAATCCCTAGCCCCTTGGCTTCACTCTTTACTTCCACTGAGTGTGATTTTGTTATGGATCTGACATAATCAGAAGAGGACAGAGGAGATACACAGGGAATGAGGGAGGGAAGAGTCCAGCAGATACACAGACTTCCTGCGGTCCCAGCAATAGGAACTACTTTGCGCCAAGCTATGGAAACCCGTGGCAGCAAGAAACTCTTTTGAGAGAAGCCCAGCACTTTCTCTGGACAGAGCTCGCCTTCCCCGGTGAACAAAGGCCTCACCTTGCCCAGTGCTGCGCGTGTCCCTGCAGTTATCTGGAAGGCTCCTTGTGCACTGTGATCATTAATGTCAACTCCATGTGCAGAGCTGTCAGAATGACCTTGCCTTGCCACCACCTTGGTACAGGCCGCTATTTCTTCTCCCGTGGGTCATATATGGACTAACTGGCCTGCCTTTCCTCTCTAACACAGGGGCATTAGAGTGATCACCCCCAAAACTGTAGTATACACTAAAGAATTAGACCTCGCTGCTCCCTGCTGCAGACCTAAAGGCTGTGACCTGCTTTTCACCTGTTTGGTCCTGTCAGCACCACCATTCCCCGCCCCATCATTGTTCCAGGACTCTCTTTCCCCTCTGCACCTGCGTTTCACGACGGGAACCTTAGACCAAGAGTTTACTCTAAAGTTTAAAGTAATTTTAAGAGACTGTAAAATTCAGGGACTCTCAAACTAGCAAAATCTCTTTTAAAAAATCTCTTTATCCTTTAGAAAATTTACAAACAAATAAATTTGGCTATACCTAGGCTGCATTTCCTCAATTTATGGATGAGTGTATCCTTTAGTATTGTGTGTAAGTAAAAATGGGCATGTACTGTTTCTTTTGATTATTTCTAGGATTTTGCCTAGACAAAATAATTTGATTGTATTTATTAGTGTTGGTGATAAATCAAGTAGTTTATTTGCTCAAAATTTCAAAAATTTCTGTAAAAGATACTTTTAGTGAAAAAGTAGAAATAACAAGAATCAGCAATTAAATGAAGAAATAAGTAAATAAGATTCTTAATTCTTCATTGATTCTATGCTAAATAAAAACAGCAAACCTGTTCCAGTCTTAATTATGTAAAAATGTATGTCAGTGTGTGTGTGTGTGTGTGTGTGTGTGTGTGTGTGTCCGTGTGTATAAGAGAAAGAAAGAAAGAACAATGCGGCTCCTTCTTGGTGGGCATTGTGAGTTATTTCTAATCACCTTACATTTTTTACCTGCTTGCTAACTTTTCAATAAAAAACAGTTACTTTCAAAAGCAAAAGAAAAGAATTTATGTGCACTAATATATCAAAAGTCAAGCTGAAGAATGCTTAAAACTATTTTTTCCAATCTTGGATATGAGTGTCAAGTTCTTATAATGATCAAGCCAAATTAAACATACCCCTCTTGAACAATTAATGTAATATGAAATTTTCTCAGTTTACCAGAGTTCCTTTATCTCTTCCTGTGGGCTTTGGATTTCTATTTCCAAAGTTGGTACTTTCGGCAACAGAGCCTTACATGTACTTTCACTTGTAATTAAATTAGCAATTGTAGTTTTTCCCCTTACAGTAAAAGGATTTAATTGGTCCAGTTCTTGTGAAAATTCGAAGATCTGTAAAGTTAAGCAAAAGGGCAAATATTCTATTTTGTATACTCTTAATACATCTGTGGAAAAGAATACTGGTTCTATCAATTGCTTAATTATTGGCTTAAATAATGCAAATTGATATCCTAAGTCTCAGCCAATTTAAATTGATAATTGGTAGTTGTTAGCTAATGTAATTCATTTTAACATAAGCAAAAAGGTTCTTTTTTTTGTTTGTTTGTCTTTTTGAGACAGGGTCTCGCTATGCAGTTCAGGCTGGCCTTGAGCTCACTTGGTAGCCCAGGCTGGTCTTGAACTCACAATGATCTTCCTGCCTCAGCCTCTCAAGTGCTGAGATTACAGGAATGAGCCACCACACCTGGCTCTGCAAAAAGGTTCTTTAAGTCCATGATTTACACAAACAAATATGTTTTTGCTCAATGTTGTTGACCTGTCATTACTGTTTAAAGTTCTGTTCTACCTTTTAACAAGCCAAAAGATGTGATCTACAGAGTTTTAAAAGATACTTTTAGTGAAAAAGTAGAAATAACAAGAATCAGCAATTAAATGAAGAAATAAGTAAGTAAGATTCTTAATTCTTCATTGATTCTATGCTAAATAAAAACAGCAAACCACAAATTTTTGTTCTCAAGTTTTTAAAGGACATCATTGATTCACAAAATAAAAAATACATTGTTTCAAAAACCATTAGAAAGTTATCAGATTGTCTTGTGGTGAAACACTATGTTGCTTAAATTATTCCGTTCTGAAAAAAAATTCAAATATATGTGGTTAAACTCAAAATGGACTAAACCATCCATGAATCATTTTGCATATAATCTAGGCCTACAGATTTTCACCAATTTAGGAACAATCTAGTGTTCAGATAAAGACTATCTCTGTTAGTCAATTTCCTGTTTCTGGGATGAAAGTACCAACGTTAACAACTTAAAGGAGGAGAAATTTATTTTGGCTCACAGTTTCAGTCCATGGACATCCTTTTCTAAGTCACTAACAATAAAAGGGGCATGGTTGAGGAAAAGGTGCTAAACGCATGGCAGTGAGCAAGCAGAAAGAGAAGGGGAGTGAGCCCAGGTCACCTCCCACCCACCCAGTGACCTGTGACTTCTAAGGAAGCCTCACTGCCTAATAGCACCTTCAGCTACAATTTTATCAGTGGATAAATACAGTGTTCCTATAACCAATGACCTTCTAAAATATACAGGTATATAAAAGTATATATATATATATACCTTTATATACAGGTATATAAAAGTATATCTGTATCTTTTTCCATATATATATATATATATATATATATATATGGAAATATATATATTTTTCCAAGCATATATATATGATAGCTGAGATGACTATACTACTAATTATGTTAGTTCTTAGAAAAGAACAGTTAATACTCATATGATTTGATCAATTTTGCATGTCTATATCTGGTAATTTAAACAACACTTTTGAAGATAACAGTATGCAATATAACAACCATTGTTAAATTCCTATCATCCTCTTTTGAAAACCTATATAGTTATTGGTTTTGGATTTTTTGTTTGTTTCTTTTGCTTTTTGTTTTTCTTTTCTCTCTGTGTTTTTTCTCTTTAAAATAAAAAAAATAAAAATTTTTTAAAAATTAGAAAGAATGTAAGAATGACTTTCTTCTACCCTGACTCTATAAAAGACACTTGAACTTGTAAAGGCTCCCAGACTACTGAGTGGTTCTCAAACTTTAGCTTTTATCACTAGAAGGATTTATTTTAAATGCTATCTGACAGCTGAGAGTTATGGCACATGCTTATAATCCCAGGATTCAGGAGGCTGAGGCAAGAGGATGGTGAGTTGGAGGCCAGCCTAGGCTACATAGGTAGACCCTGTCTCAAAAACAAGAAAAAGATAACAATTAAAAAAATTCTGTCTTATGTTTTATCCCCTGTCTTGAGATTCAGAATCAGTGCTCTTGAGTGGGAAGTGGGAATTTACACTCTTAACTAAGCTTTTAAAGTATTGTAATTATGTAAAACTTTAAAATGCTATTTAATCACTGATTTTATGGTCATTGTAAAAATGTAAATATTATAGATAATAAATGTGTTTATAGAAGAACGGCAAGCAACAGAATTCAGATTTAATGTTACAGCAAATTGAAGAAGATAGTAACATTAATATTGAATATTTTCTAGGTATTCTGGATTCTCACATAACAAAGTTGGTATACATCATGCAGGTAGAAGCTATGCTTTTCATTATGAAGAAAGTTACATCCATAGGACCTTCCCAGGTATGGTAAGGGTGGGAAAGACCAACACTCTTCCAGTCTGGTCTTAGCGATACAGCTCAATTTAATCATCAGTCATGTTTAAATATTTACTTGAATTAACCTGATCGTTCTACTGTCTGAAGGAACACTTAGGTAAAAAGATCATAGGGAATACTGGCTGTGATGGTGCACACCTACAATCCTTGCATTCTGGGAGGCTAAGCCAAGAGGACTGGAAGTTTGGGGCCAGGCTGGCCAATTTATCAACTCAGTGAGACCCTGTCTAAAATGAAAAACAACGAAGAGCTAAGGATATAGCTCAGTACAAAGGCCCTGAGCTCAATCCCTAGTATCATGGTAAAAAAAAAAAAAAGTCAAAAGCACCCTTCTTAAGAGAAACTAGAATGTTATTAATGATGCCAAGACCCAAAACAAAAATTTAAAAACTTTAACGCTTCTTTACTAGTGCATATTAGTTACATGGGTTATTTGGACAAATGGGTTTCATTTTGGTGTTTTGTACATGCATGTAATAATATACCTGGATCATTTCCCTCCATTATCCCTCTTCCTCCCTCTCCCTCCTGCACCCCCTCCTGTTCTCTAAGTCTCCCTTCCACATTCCTGTCTTTCTCTCCAATCCTTCTCCCCTCCTCTTTTCCTTTCCAGATTCCTCATAAGAGAGGAAATGTGATAGTTGACTTTCTGAGTCTGGATTATTTTACTTAACACGGTACACTCTCCAGTCCCACCCATTTTCCTGTAATGACATGACTCACTCTTCTTTATGGCTAAGATATATAAAACCTTTTCTTTAGCTATTCATCTCTTGATGGACACCTATGCTGTTTCTACAGCTCAGCTGTTGTGAATTGTATGGTAGAAAAGTGGGTATGCAGGTATTTCTGCAGTAGACTGACTTTAATCTTTTAGGAATATGCCAAGGTGTGGTAGAGCTCCATCAAATGGTGTGTTCATTTTCAGTTTTTTGAGGAAGCTCCATACTGGTTTCCACAATGGCTATCTTAATTATATTAATGGAGGGAAATGATGAAGGTATATTATTACATTCCCACCAAGACTGGAGGCGTGTGTGTGTGTGTGTGTGTGTGTGTGTGTGTGTGTGTGCATTTAATAATAGCCATTCTGACTGGGGTGAGATGGAATCTCAATGTAATTTCTATTTCCATTTCCCTGGTGGCTAACATGTTGAACATTTTTTATATGCTTATCGGTCATGGTTTGCTTTTATTGTTGAGAACAGTGTTTTGTCTGTATATTCTGTATATTTTCTGTTGGAAGGGAAGCTAGCAAAGATTTTTCTGTAGGCTGATTCACTCTGGTGATTGTTTCCTTTGCTGTGCAGAAGCTTTTTAATTTTATGTAGTCCTATTTGTTGATTATTACTGTTCTTTCTTACACTGTTGGAGTCCTATTCAGAATATCTTTGCCTGAGCCTATGACTTTACTTGCTTCTCCTATGTTTTCTTCCAGGAGTTTCAAAGTCTCAAGTCTCTTACCTAGGCCTCCAATCCATTTTCAGTTAATTTTTTACAGAGAATGAGACATAAAGATTTAGTTTCAATGTTCTACATATGATTATTCTATTTTCCCAGCATCATTTGTTAAAAAGCCTGTCTATGATTTTGTATGTAAGTAGTTGTTATGTCCTCTGTTCTGTTCCACTGGTCTATATGTCTATTTTTGTGCTGGTTTTGAGTGACAATACCGCACTATTTTTGTTACTATGGCTTTGTGGTACACTTTAAAATCAGGACTCATGATATTCCCCGCATTACTCCTTTTGCTCATGATTACTTTGACTACCCTAAGTAATTTATACGTGCACAAATTTTAGTATTGTTTTTCCTATTTTTGTGAAGATGCCATTGCTAACTTGATGGGGACTGTATTGAATCTATAGATCACTTTTGGTAATACCATATGGCATTTTAACAATGTTAATCTGCTGACCCATGAGCACAAGATTTTCTACCTTCTGGTGTCTTCTTCAGTTTCTTTCTTCAGTGATAAAATTTTCATTGTAGAGGTCTTTATCTCCTCATATGTTTGTTCCTTAGGTTTTTTTTAAGATTACTATGAATGAAACCATTTTCTAGATTTTTTTCGTCAGCAGGCTCAAAAAAGCTATTGGTTTTTGTATATTGACTTTATATCCTGCCACGTCAGTGAATTTGTTTGTGATAGCTAAAGTCTTCTGGTAGAGTTTTTACTGTCTTTGAGGTAAAAGATCATATAATCTACAAATAGGGATATTTTTACTTCTTTTCCTACTTATGTACCTTTTATTTGTTTCTTGCCTGATTGCTCTGGCGAACACTTGAAGCACTGTATTGAATGGAAGTGGTGAAAGTGGACATCTTGGGGCTGGGGATTTAGCTCAGTGGCATAAGCGCCTGCCTTGCAAGCAGGCAGTCGTGAGTTTGATCCCCGGTACCGATAAAAACGGAAAAAAAAAAAAAAAAAGTGGACATCTTTTTTGTTCCTGATTTTGAAGAAAATGCTTTCAGTCTTTCCACATTCAGTATGATGCTGGCTGTGGGTTTGTTGTACACAGTTTCTATAGCTAGTTGTGAAGGTAGGGTGAATTCTGTTGAAGGCTTTTTCTGCATTTATTGAGATGATCATGTGATTTTCATTTTTGATTCTATTTATATGATGCATTACATTTATGTTTGCTGGACTATCTTTGTAGCCCTTGTAACTTTTCTGTAAGTCTGAACTTGATCATGGCATCTGATCTTTTTAATGTGCTGTTAGTTTTGTTTGTAAAAATCTTATTGAGGATTTTTTGCATCTATGTGCATTAAGAATAGTGGTCTGTAGTTTTGTTTTATTTTGCTGTGGTACTAGAGATTGAACCCAGGGCCTCAGCACCAAACTAACATCTACGGCCCATTTTATATTTTGAGCTCAGGATATGCTCAAACCTACGATCCTCCTGCCTCAACCCTGAAGAGTGCTGGGATTACAGGCATATGCCACCACACTCAGTGCAATTTTCTTTTTTCTTTTCTTTTCTTTCCTTCTTTCCTTCCTTCCTTTTTGATCAAAAGGGAAATTTTAATGAGTAACAGTTTGAGGGGAAACAGAATGCACATGGTGTCAAAGTGTCTCTCCACAAGGTATTTATTAATTTTAAAGGGACAAGTAATAACTTTACAGTGAGAAATCCAGCGGATAGTACTCCAACCAAATTATTGACATTAACACCATGTGTAATAGAACAAAAAAAAAAAATAGCACATCTCCTGATAAAATGCACCAGGAAGGATCCAACATCACTTCTATCATATTCCTACCAGTAATTAGTGACCTAAATGATATTTTGAGGACACATCAAAGGAACCCAAATTGAGACACAGTCTTCAAAACAAATGATCTGTGCTTGTTATAGACTGCATGTTTGTGTTCCCCCGAAATTCATACATTGCCATCCTAAGCCTCAGTGGGGTGGTATTAGGAAGGGACTTCGGGAAGTAATTAGGTCACAAAAGTGGAGCTCTTTGATGGGATTTATACCCTCATAGAGAGAGGAGAGGGCTTGCTTCATCCCTGCGCTCTCAGCCACCTGTAAACCACAAAGTGGCTCTCACCCACACCAGATCTGCCAGCACTGGCTCTCAGCTTTCCCATCCTCCAGAACTGTGAGAAATAAGTATCTGCTGTTCAAGCTACGCAGCTTATGGTATACTGGTCAGCAGTCTAAACTAGGACTGAACACTTCAAAAATACAAAAGTTATGAAAGACAAAGACAGTCTGCTCAAAGGACATGAAAATTAAATGCAATGTATGATCTTTGGTTAGAACTCAGACTAGAAAAAAAAGTGTTCTTCTTTTGCCATAGAGTAAAATGATTGGTAAGATCTGAATACAGTCCATAGATTAGACAAAAGTACTGTGTCCATGTTAATTTCCTGACTTTGAGACTTGTACTGTGGCCATGTAAGAGCTGTTATTGTTCTTAGCATAACCACATGGAAATCTTTAGGGGTAAAGGAGATTATGTCTCGCATCTTACTCTTAAAAAGCTCACAGAAAAGTACCTGTGTTTGTGCATGTGTGTGTGAGTTTGTGCATGCAGGCATGAGTGTTTGAAGGAAGGACAGAAGGTGGGAGAGAGAGACAGGAGAGACAACGTAGAGGGAGAGACAATGATGAAACAAATGTACCTACTGCAGAGGAATGAGGGCGATGGGACTTTTGTACATTTGTAACTTTTCTGTAAGTCTGAAACTGTGTCACCACAAAAATTTAAGAAACAAGGTGAGAGAGAGAGAGACAGACTGAGAAGGGAGAGAGAGAGAAAGAGACAGAGACGGAGACAGAGACAGAGACAGCGAGAGCGAGCCAGATTACCAGCCTGGTGATTTCTTTCTCTGGATTTTATGTTACATACTTCCTGCCTCACCCTTTGTGTTAACTTTTCCAATGATATTTGAAAGAGCTTGTCCTGTAACTGTACAATGTGCTGATAATCCACCTTGCTGCCAAGGTCCACAAACAAAGCTTAGCTGTATTCTGTGGCCCAAACCCACCCTTACAGGCAGCAAACCCTGTATTCTGGGCCTTTGCTTCCATGTGTTACATACTGTAATATTTGCCCTGAGAACTAAACTGGTGGGAAGCTGATTTAAAGTAAAAATTCACAGATTAATTATAAGTTCTTGGTACTGGTTGAAGTCTGAATATTCATCTTGAATTACAGCTTGATTCATTGTCCATACTATGACAGTTTATTGTACAAAGGAATAAAATATACTCCAATTTCCAAGTCTTCTTTTACTGAAAATTAATTTCCTTTTATCTGCATGCAAGATATGTTAACTATCAAACATTTTAAATACTTCATAATTCAGCCTCACCTTTGTTTCTAAATCAGAATTCTCTCTTTGTAGCAGGTTATATGCTATTAAAAAATGATCTCTGCCTTCTGCTGCTCCTGGAAGACTCTGAATTTCATTAAAAAGGCATGTGAGTTCTGACTTTGAGTTTCGTAATTCCTGATTAAGAAATGAAAATATTTTACATCATAAAACAAGATTATTTCCCCATAAAAGGTTTAACAAGTCTAAAATGGTCTTGAAATGGTTCTCTTTAGTTTGAATATTAAATTGAATATTCTGTTCCTGTCCCCCACATGTTGAAAGACTTCATTTCTTGTCATTCTTACGCAAGCATAGAGGTAAAATCTGAAGGAACTCCTATATTTAATAATTACATTATTCATTTTAAGAATATATCTTCTGCAGTTTATGTGGTTAACATCTAATCTTGATACCTCTAGAAGAAGGTTGTTGAAACTAATGCTCAGAGAGCAAAAATTCACCTAGGCAGACACTGTAAATCCAAGATTCCAAACACATGTCTGTCTTACTTCAGACTATGTTCTTAACTGCAGATTATGCTTCTTTACTTAATAATGTATATTCTGAGGACTTATCAGCTAGGATTTCCTCTAATCCTCTGATTATCTTTTCATATCCATGAGACAAAACATTTTAGTCAGATACACATTCTTGTTCAAATGTTTACAATGATTACATGGAGTACGCACTGTTCAACAGGGGCTGAGAGTCAGTGGAAGGTACCCAGTAACCATCAGGATATATAAAATGTACCTCAGGGAGCCAGAGATACAGCTCAAAGACACAAGCACCTGCCTGGCAAGCGCAAAGTTGTGAGTTTGATTTCTGATACCAAAAAGTAAAATAAAATATACCTTAGGAGAAGAGCTTGCTATTTTTTCCAAAGCCTTAAAATTGAAGGGAATGAAGAACACTGATAGCATTGGGCAAGAAGGTAGTGGGTGGCCTCCTAAAGCCACAGGAAGAGGGAAGTGGTAAGGTTTTCCTATGGTGACCTAAAAATTCTTGTAGGTCATTAGAACAGGATTTGGGGCATTGTACTGCCCTCACCCATAATGCAAACTGATTAAGCATCATTATCCTCTAGTTGGTGATCCAGACTTCCATGAGCTTACTTCTAGATCTCTCTTCAAAACAGAAGTTGATTTTGTTTCTGATAGGTCTTTCCAAAATGGTAGGACAGTATTAAAGTGAGACACAAATGAATGACTATGAACATCACAACAACCAAAAACCTGTTACTTAAAATATTCCTTGCTAGTGCCTGAGCTCAGCATGCTGAAACAAAAGAGCTCTTCCATTATTATTGTTGGAAACACCTTCTATAATGTTATGGATTGATCCGTGACCCCCTCAAAATTCATAGATTAAAGCCGTAAACCCCAAAATGACTGTATTTGGAGATAGGGTCATGAAGGAAGTGATAAAGGTTAATTGAGGACTATGAGTGGAGCCCTAATCTCATAGAGCTGGTGCCTTTATGAGAAGAGACACACAAGCTCATTCTCCCTTCATCATATGAAAACACAGTAAGAAGGTGTGCAAACCAAGAACCCTTCTCCAGGAACTGAATTAGGTGGCACCTTGATGTGAGACTTCCTAGCTTTCAGAACTGTAAGAAAATAAATTTCTAAAGTTTAAGTGACTCAGTCTGTAGCATTTGGTTATAGTAGACCAACCTAATATACATAATTAGAGTTTATTTTAAAATCAAAATAAATGATAACATGAAATTTCTAAATTAGAAAACAGTATTTTGAGTGGTGATACCTCACTATCAGCTTTCAAGGCCTTCTGCATAGTAACAAAATCAGATTCCAGCTGCTCTTTCCCCTCTCTCTCATCTGACAAATCAGTTTCAAATATTTCAATTTTTTCTTGGCTCATTTTCTTGGCTCATTTTCAATATCTGTAAAAAAGCATTTTGCACAATTTATTTTGTACACAATACTATTGTTTCCTATAAATTCTGATTCAATTATGAAGTCATGTAAGGGATATAAAACTAATTCATGATACTATAGCCCATGAATTACATTTTTTTCTCTCAAGTCTTGTTTCTATAGCCCTAAAAATATTAACACTGGTTCCACTTATATTACACATGAGTCTTACACATGATTTTGAAAGTATCTTACAAATTTTAAGGAACTGCCAAATTAAAGCTGTTGACAAAATCTTTGCAAATTAATTGGTAGTGTGATCATTGTAGTAGCTTATTATATGTCAGATGCTATGGTAGGTGCTGTACATGCATCATCTCATTTTGTCTTCCAGGACCTCTATGAGACTGGAATAATTATCATCACATTCTTTTTCAAAGAAGGTACATAAAGCTCAGACACATCACAACAACTGCTCAAGGTCATATAGTCAGCTCTAGAACGGAAACCTAAGGCCTCACTTTCACTCTATTTGGCTTTGTCAAAGTGTACTTTGCTCATAGAAAATGCTCTATAAATGCAGTTTATATTACTTTTTATGTTAAAGAGAATAAAATCAAACAGAATAGAGCCAATCAAAACAAAACAGTGAACACCATACAAGACTTCAAAACAACAACGACGGCTACCATAATGCCCCTTGTTATCATCAAAGTATCTGTCTATACCAGAAGACATAATAAAAACAAAGCAGTATAAAATCAATTTTAAAAGGCAATGAAAATGACACAGGGTTTCAAAATAAGAAGATAGGAAACTAACAATGGCTACCACCTTCCTTTTCAGACTTCTTCCTTTTCTCTTTTACAATATCTACTGTACACTTTGCATCCCATTAACACCTTTAGTTTTTTATAATAAGGAGGCAGGCAACATGATTTTCACTCATGTCTGGACCATTTCACCCATAAGCATGATCTCAAGTTGCACCCATTTACCTACAAGAGCCTCGTGATTATCCTTCTTTATAGCTGAGTCGCTTTCCATTATATAAAAATGCCATATCTTCCTTATCTATTTTGTGATTGATGGGCAAGCTACCCCTCCTTTTTTCTGGTTCCCTGTCACATGGAGTATTGTGTTCTCTTCTTTGACTTTCACTCTATGAATTTCCTTTCAAATTAAATGTTTCTAGTATACTGCATATTGATGGATCTTGTTTCTTGAGACACTCTGTCTGTGTTTCTTTTTAATGTTGAATAGAGGTTATCTACATTAATGGTTATGGCCCACATGCACTGGCTTATCTCTGCCTTGCTATTTTCCTGCTGTTGAATCTGTGCTTTTCCCCTCCGTTCAATTGCTTGCACCAGTCAGTGATCTCCCTCTGTGGCTGTTCCTGGAAACATGGTCATTTCTCTCTCTCTCTAGAATGTCCTTCAGCACCCTTGTAGGGTTGTTTTGGTGATCATCAATTCCTTCAGTTGTTCTCTGTGATGGAAGTATCTTGTTTCCCCATTAATTTTGAAAGATAGTTTTTCAGGGTACATCAATCTAGGTTGGAAGTAGTTTTCCTTCAGGACTTAAAACTCTTCATTCCAAGCTCCTCTTGACTTGGTGGTTTGTGTTGATACATCTGTCATGATTCTGATGGGTTTTCCTTTATAGGTAATCTGGCTCTTTTCTCTAACAGCTTTTAATATTCTGTTCTTGTGCTGAATTTCTGGGATCTTGACCATCATATGTCTGGGTGTAGATTTATCCTGGCTATGGCTAGTTGGAGTTCTATATGCCTCACGTACCTGTACACGTACCTGTACGTCAGATTCTTTTCCAATGCTTGGGAAATTTTCTGCTATTATTTCTACAAATAGTCTTTTTGTGTCATTGTGTTGCCCCCCTTTTTTGCTAACACCTATCAGTCTTACATTATTTTTCATTGCATCATCTTGCAGACACTGAATTGTTATTTCTTGGTTCCTTGTTATTTTTAAGAGATCTTTCCTTTTATGATAGTTAGCTGCAATCTTGTCTTTAAGGTCTGAGAGTCTAATCTCAGCTTCTTTCAAGCATTTCTACCAGCTTTCAATGGAATTTTTAATTTCCTGATATCTCTTTGAATCTATTTTATGCATTCCAATTTTTCCCTATATTGCTTATTCAAGGTTTCCCTCATTTTCCTATGCTCTTTTTTTTGCTAATCTGTGTCTCCTTTATATACTCTCAGCAATCCTTTCATTATGTTTTTCATTTCGTGTTTTACCTGAGATATAATTTCTGATCTTACTTCTTTTACAGCTTCATGAAGTAGTTTCTTTACTTCAGTTGCCATCATCCCCAAAATTTCAGGTGTGAGACTTCCAATTTCTTCCAAGTTTATTTCTCCTGGGCTTGTGCTGTGTGGGCTGGTAGCCAGAGATTGCCTTTGCTCTTTCATCTTGACATTTTCCTGTTTTCCTCTGGACAAGCCAGTTATGGGGTCCAGGCACTCTTACATGGACCACCTGTTCACAGTGTAGGAGAATGGGTCCGGCACCTGGGTATCTCCTAACCTAGGTTCCTGGGGAGGCAGTGGAGCACAGGGTGGGCTTCTCCAGACACGCATAGCTTCTCCAAGGTGTGACTGGCTACTTCTCCCAGCCCCTGTTGGTTACAGGTCCCTGATGGTGACCATCAGGCTCACAAGGCTGACACTGGCTGCTGCTTCTCTGGCTACCTGTGTGGGGGAGTGTCTTGATGAGTCTATATTACTATTGAATTGTTCTGAATTCTCATATTTAATGAGATTTATATATATATATATATATATATATATATATATATAGTTGATATTCACAATGCTAAGCAAATACTCTACATTTGAGCTACATATTTATATTACATAATAGTGATGTTTGTTTTGGGAACTTGGTAGATGCATATCACATATGTTGCACATATTCTACCCTTTACCCCATCCATTTTCCTCCTGCCCCCTTAATACCTTTCCCTATCTCCAAGAGTTTATCTTGAAGTTTCTGATCCCTGTCCCTTTAAGTTTACATGTTTAATTATTTCTAGTTTAGGTTTCTCATATAAAAGAAAGCATGCAATATTTAACTTTCTGAGTCTGGCTTATTCTTCTTAGCATGATGGTCTCATGTTCCATCCCAAATATATATTTAATGAGCTCTTTTTTTTTTTTGAGACAAAGTCTTGCTATGTAGTTGAGGTCAGCCTTGAACTCATGGTAATCTTCCTGCCTCAGCCTCCTCAGTGCTGGGATTATAGGCATGTGCTACCACACCCCACCTATGAGCTCCTTTTTTGACAGACTTCTGGGAAGATTTCTATAAGCACTGTTCATCATCATAGGATGTAGTTTTAATATTCCTAGAAGAGTAGTGTCTCTTTTTGCCTATTTTCAGAGCATCCTTATGGAGTTCGCCACAGCTGTATTAGAATGTAACTAAAAATTATCTTTGTATTTCTTACCTCACTCATCTCTTGGATTTTAATTATCTCTTGATCTTTCACACTAGTTTCTCTTCAGTCTTCCTATTCACTGATACCTGAGGTTTTAAGATGGAAATCTTAATCCAAATAAGTCACCAGTTAAAATATGAAATGTGTTGCTTTTAAAAATATTAAATAATAAGCTACATCCCTTAAGCATACTTCCGTGAGAATGTTCCCTGGAATCTCTTCCTATAAGCAAGTTTTACCTAGTATCTGGTCACGGACCAGCTGCTTTTATGATAAGCTATTTGTTACGAATTTGAGCATTTGCTGTTGTTTGTTAGCTGACCAAAGGAATAAGCATTAGAAAAATAGAATCCTGATGGCTCTGAACCAATCAAATTACTAATTTACTCCTATGTTAAATTTTAATAAAACAAGAATGGCAGTCTTAAACTGCTAAGTTAGAAAGAATGGAGAATGCTATTAGAGTTGGATGCTAAAACCCAGGTGTAATTTCTATAATTCCTCTTTAAATATGATTGACAAAAGAGTTATGTTGACACAGCATTGTATAAGGATATAAAGGACATACTTTCCCCCCACAGTAGCTTCTTTGTTTCAACCAGCATCTGCGTTGGTGAACATTTTTGTGGACCTGTACTTGACACGTTAATGCATGTGTTCCCTTGCCCTCACTGATGTCTCAGTACAAAGGCAGGGAAACACCTCAACTCTTAAAAATGAAAACTCCCTTCATTTTCTTTGTGTTTGCTTAGTATAAAGATTTTTAATGTTAAATTTTAAAAGTTAGTTTTTTTCTAAGTAAAATATTTGAAATTGATAAAATAATTTGTAGTTAAGATATACATATACTTATCCATATATTTTAATTAATATATTAAGTTATAATAATTTATATATTTATACATGCAAAAGCAGTATACTTGAAAGTGTTTGAAAATTTTACAAATATATATCAGAAATTTACCATAATTTGTGGCACACTGAATATAGTGATACATTTAGGTAGTTTGTGTACTTCATTAGATTACTGATCAAAGTTTAAAATAGAAAAAACATAGGAAAGGGTAGCAAATAATGTTGAAAATGAGCATCTGGATATAGACATCTCTGGGTAGCCGAAGGGTGCCTACCTCACCAGTAGACCAGTAGTAAACAAAGAGAAAAACTAATGACTTGTTAGCAAGTTGTCTCATTAGCACAGGGTAGCTGCCAGTAACTCTGGAGAAGCAGTTTAACAGCTCAGAATGTTCCCCTTCTGAAGTTGTACTACCTGAAAGATGGGGAATCATTTAATACCCTGAACAAGGCTACTTTGATAAGTTTCACTGCTGTTTCTCTCAAATGAGATGGCGGGTGCAGGCACTGCACAGAATAAAACACTGCCCAGCCATCGCCTCCACATGGTGGTGGTTTATGTGTCCAGTGCTGAGCATGCTACAGCCTAGAATCCCATATATAAATCTCCTGCATAAATCTCCACAAGAATTGGTATTGTGTAGAAAATGAGCTCTATGGTTAGATAAACCAGGCTCAACTTGTGGTGCTCTTTTGCTTTGGTCAAGTTCTCTCAAACTCTCAGAAATAGGAAATGGAAATATCCCTGCTTCACCTGTAGAATAGAGGGCTATTATAGGACTACATGAGATTATGTTGGTAACACCTCAAACAGATTGCAGCATATGATAAATGCTCAACATATTGTGGTTAGTATTATTCCTGCAAGATACATAGCATGTCTTCTGTTTGCAATATTTTCTGCATGGCAACAGCACTACAATGGTGAACGCATAGCATACAGAAATGGATGTAGATCACATTTTGCTTGATACAAGGGAGTAGTTTTCTAGATTATCTTTTCTTTTGAAGTCACGGGAACCTCCATTTTTTATTTTCAAAAGAATTCTTAGAGGGAAGCCACTACAAAGTGCCCAGAAGTGGGAGTTTCTCCAATTTATGAAGAGGTAGAAGACCTAGAGGTCTGCACGGGTGGTATGTCAGGGATTCCTGGAACACAGTATGAAAACCACTGTGACAGAAATGGGTTTTGTAGCCAGATTGAGATATGAAATCTTGATTTTCATATTTATGAATTTGTGGTCTTGATTTCCTCAACCACATTGTATCAGAAGATGCACTTCCCCACCCCAGCCAGTATACTTGCCCAGGTAACCTCCAGTTCACCTCAGTTTCTGTTATAGTTCCTGTTGTTTCTGTTTCTTAGAAATGGCTGATCATAATGATGCATGATCACTAATGATGCTGGTCACTAGGACACACACTGTAAGAACCAGTCAGTAACCACCACATCCTCTGCTTCTGGCTTACAAACCCCATAAAAACCTCTGTCCCTGAGCCTTCGATGACTGACACTTTTTTTCCTTGAGGTCAGTGCTCATCAACATTAAATAAATTGCCTCCAAATTCTGGGTGACATCTGAGCATTTCTTTTGTGTTGCAACACAAGATGAATGATATCTACCTCTCAGAATTTCTGTTAATATTATATGAGCTATATCAAACTTGTACCAGAGTCATTAAATATTTCAAATATTCAAATGTTAGTTTCCACATGTGTTAGATGAGGTAGAGAAAGAGAGACAGATGGAAAGACAGACAGACTTACATGATGAACTGGCTTGTGCAATTATGGAAGGGTTGGGGATCCCATGATGCCATCTATAAGCTACAGATCCAGAAAAGCCGGCAGAATACAGTGGTCCCAGTCCAAGTTCAAAGGCCTGAGAACAGGAGAACTGATGGTATCAGGTCTATTCTAAGTGCAAATGCCAGAGCCTGGAGAGCTGGTGCGTTCTAGTCTTAATAAAGTCTTAGTCTGAAGGCCTGAGATCCAGGAGCCCTAGTGGTGAAGTCCCAGTCTAAGGGTAGCAGAAGACTGATGTCCTAGCTCAAGCAGTCTGGAAGAAAGAGTAAATTCTCCCTTCTATTCAGGCCCTTGACTGATAAGGGTGATCAAAATATATGGGAATATTTAAATTTTTAAAAATTGATTACATAAGATATATTACTGTGAATCCCACTGAAAATACTCTCCCCCACTTCTTTTAACATACTTATGACACCATTCTTGCCACTTTATGAAGTAGTTCTAGAAATTCTTATTCACATATTTACAAAGTGTGATAAAAAATATGGTGGATGTGGCTGCGGGGCACCATCCAGTGGAAAAGCAGGCACGGAAAAGCATTATGGCTGCCTGCGTGCACCTTATTCACTGGATGTGGCCCTGCGTAACTCCCGGATCTCCCCCCGAAAGTCAAGTAATCACAAAAGGCAGATGTTTGCATCAGTTCAGGACATTAAGGTGGCCATGATAGCACAACTAAAAGACACTCACAAAAGACTTCCAGAACTGTTTCAGAAATGGCAAGAAAAGGGCATGAGTATGTTTGAAGGAAGGGGGAGTGTTTTGAGGGTTAACTACAATATGTCTTTTATTGTAATATATTTTTTAAAAATTAAACATTCTCTATAATTTCTAATCAGATCTTATAGACAGTACCTACTCATATGATGTATAGCAACGTGTTTTACTCAGTCTAACGATTCGGATGTTAATCTCCTTTGCAAACACTCTCAGATGTATCTAGAAATAATGTTCAATCAGATACCTGAGCATCTTGTGGCCCAAAAAAGCTGGTATATAACATTCACAATCACACCATACTTTTACTTCCTTTTGTAGAAAATGGAAAATAAAATAGCAATCGGGAGTGAATGACAGCAGGAAACACTGGAGTGCCCATCTGAAAGCTGAAAATCCGTACCAGGGATAGTGTGGTACTAGATCAAGATGTGGAAATGGTTGTTACTGAAAGGGTTGTTACTCCTTACGAGACAGTTCACTTAATCCCTCCCTCTGCCAAGAATGACCTTTTCATTAACAGCTATCAGTAACACCATCACCTGGCTGCGGAACACAGAGAACCTTGAGGTTTTTTCTTTGTGAATGATAATGTTGAAAGCAAACAATACTAATAGTTACTTCTTCTTTCTTTAGGAAATGATTTTGTTTAGCTCTAATTGATTACCATTCAGTTATAACTTTTCCAGTTTTAAAATGTCTACTTGTTAATATATTTAAAGAGAATAAACATTTATTTACAATGGTTCCGTAATCCCATTCCAGCTGGTTAAAGTGGGATAATGCTAAGGGATAGGATCAAAAGAATCAAAATGAAGGTTTTATAATTTTAAAAATCTGTATACATTTCAAGGAAAAGAAAACTGGCTTGTACCATAGCCTAGAGGATTGAGATTAAACATAAAGAACTCAAATATTTAATGTTAAACAGTAGAGAAAACTGTGATCTTTTCTGAACATCTTTTAAAACAAGATAGAAATGCAAAGCTAGGCATAAAGGCATACACCCATAATCTCAACATTCAAGAGGCTGAGGCAGGAGAATTGTGAGTTTAAGACCAGCCATAGCTATACACTGAGTTTGAGGCCAGCCTGGAATATAGCAAGACCCTGTATTTAAAAATCCAAAACAAGTATATAAATACTCTCTTCCCAAGATAGATGCTTATTGGTACAGAATGTCAGAGACAACACTAATTACAGAGGAAGGCAGATTAGCCAGATTGTCGCCAACTGTCTTCTTTTTTTATATTTTTTATTTTTTTTTCCACTTGTGATTTTCTTTGAGCCAACTGTCTTCTTCAGTCCCAAGAATTTTATGGTACAGAGGGCCACATGGAAGTATACCACCAGCATCGCCCTTCAACGAAGTACTGCAACACTCTTCTCAGAAGCCTCCGGTGGATCCTGAACACGGTGGGAACACCATGACCCGGCCCTTTCTGCCCAATGTGGAATTCCTCTGCAGGTTATCATTGTGCCAAAGCTCTCTGTTCGACACCCTGAGACCTTCTCAGAGCTATCCCACAGCCTCAGGCTCTTCCTTTAGAATATTTCTTTCTTCTCCCTCTTATTTAACAGATGTCAGACCACACTGAAGTTGAAGATTTATCCTCTCTGCCTCCTTCTTCCTTTCTTTCCTAAGAGCCACCCTTAATAACTCTTACAATTCTAGATTCACCTTGGGGCCTACTTCATGTAGATGGATGGATGACACAATAAGGAACAGGGCCATGATCACAATCACCACTGCAGACAAAAGAAAATAACTATATAAGAAGTAAAAGAGTTTCACTGTCACACAGGTGAAGCCTTTGGGAAAATATTTCCCTTTTTTAAACAATTATATGACTCATATGCTGCAATCAGTTTGGTCTACATTTCACTATCAAATGGAAGAATGGAGAAATGAAGTGGAAAGATTAGATACTATAACCAGCCTCCTTCTCAGTGACTTCTAGGACAAATCTGTGTATCATCACCCTTTTTCCTGTACTGTCAAAAGGAAAGAATGCAAGAAGAATGGGATTTGTTAAGAGACTCACTGTGCTTTTGTTATGTTTTATATGAAAAATCTCACTATTTAAAATATAGTGTTTCATGTGTGTAATATTTCCCTCCAACCATTAACAAAACAGTATCCTAATAAATATTATTCTATTACATATCTTCCTGTTAGATTATAGCCACCTTATTTCTTATGGATTTCTTTGTATTTTTACTCACTCAACAAACAATTATTGGATGCAAAATATGTGCTGGTACTTTGCTGAGTCATGGGGATATAATAATATGTGCAATAATTATTTCAAGTTTACAGATAAGGAAATCATGGAGTGAAGAATTAAGTAATTTGCTCAAGGTTACAATGTAAGCAATAAGATCTGGGATCTGAATTCAGGCCAAACTGTGCTCCTAACATTTAAACTGAAACTACCTTGATCATAGCTTTTTGTGTTGTAAACAGTACTGTGGTCCTGTCCTAGAAGAATACCACAGTGATGGCACAGATACGCAGGTGGTAAATTACACTAAAAAGTGATCAGCTCTGTTGTAGATCTGTGTTCCAAGTGTTGAGGCAGTCAGAGGGCATTCCTTATGATGCAACCCCAAAAACTTATATTGCATTTATAAAAGTTTTGCTATAAACACATGTGTGTATTTTTAGGTAAACTTTTCTGTGAGCTTCAACCTTTCAGAGAAATTATTTTTGAAAAGCAACACACAAATTATGTTAGCAATCCATTTCTAAAATTACTTTCTGAAATGGTGAAGACATGCACAGACAAAAGATGATCATCTTTCTGAGTGAGCTTGATATTTTTATGGAAGTTGTGAACTCCTGTACAGAGACAAATTTGGAAATTAACTGATATAAAAGTTTGGGGCAAGAAATGGTTGCACTTTAGGAGCTGGAGATATAGCTCAGTGATAGAGCATTCACCTGCGATGTGTGAGGCACTAGTCTCAGTCCCAGAATTTAAAAAAAAGGAAAAACTTAATAAATCAAACTTTTAATTTATATTACTATAAAGCCAATTTGTAAAGCAGAACTTACAAATAGTTTCTAGCCAATGCAGATAGTAAACATGATTAAAGCCTCCAGGGAAAACTGTACTGAAGAATATATATGTTGACTTCCGGGAGAAAATGGCGGACAGATAACAGCAGCTACGGAGGCTCTCTGAAAGGCTCGGCTCAGAAGTCAGGAAGGGTGCGGAGTAAGTAGTCACAAGCAGGTGGAGATATGCTCTGCTGACTCAGGAACGAACTGGGCTGAGAGAAACCAACTTGGAATGCAGTCCTGGTGCTAAAGCAGGAACAGAAAAGCCTCAGTGTGGAGGCTGGACCCCGCGCCATTGGAAGCCGCTATTTGGGTTTCCCGCCACGCAGAGACTGCCTCTACAGCGGCTTGGCAAGGAGAGAGACGCGCGGGAGCTTTGAGAACGGGAAGCTGCGAACAGAGTCGAAAACAGGACAGGCAGTGAGGCGTGCACTGACTTGTGGTGAGGTGAATGAGAGAAACTGACACTCTACCACTGTTTGACTCCAGCGGAGGACTTTCTGGGCCCTGGCAGTCCTGCGGGAGCAGGGCGCGGTGGCGACTCCAGCCACACATCCCCCTCTCAGACGGGATTGGTGAAAAGTGCCTGGCCTGCGTGACGCTGCTGGCGGACCCAGTAGGCTGGCCCAACCCAGATCCCAGAGCCTGACAGTGGCCGGGAGGGGTGGGCCCTGCGTAGGCTGCCTGGTCCGTAACTCCCTGGTGCGCTGCGGTGGGCGGGAACACCTAGCCGACCCAATTCAATCGGGCTGTGGCTGACAGGGAGAGAAGCTGGGTCTCCTATACAAGCTTGCATATATAAGGAACAGAGAATATGGGAAAAGGCAGCAACAAGAAAGGCTCCTCGTCCCCCAATTCTGAGAAACAGGCAATAGCGGACACCACACCAATAGACATAAAGCGCCATATAGAGAGCCTCATAGATCAATTCAGGAATGAAGTTATCAATGACCTGAAGATAGAAATAAGCAGAATAGTTAGAGAAATGCTAAGCACCACCCAAGAAAAAACAGATGGTGGAATGGAAGAACAGAAAAAGAGGGGAGAATTGTTTGATGGAGAAAACAGAGAAAGCATAGAATACGTGAAACAGGTTCAAAGGGACTACCAAGAAACTAAGAAGTCTATCAAAGACTGGCATAACAGCTTGAAAGAAACTAAGGACAGACTATCTGAACTGGAGGGCAGACTTGTAATATGGGAAAATGAAATGAAAAACTTCTTAAAAATAACAAAGAAACAAACAGCAATAATACAAAGACAAGAAGATGATAAGAGGATCCATAACTTAAGGATTAAGAACATAAAAGAAGAAGTAGGGACACAAACAAGTGAACTACAAAAGCTACTCACAGAAATAATCCAAGAGAATTTTCCTAATTTAGCAAAAGGTAAAGATACTCAGATGTATGAGGCATACAGGACCCCAGCTACCTACAACCCAAACAGAGCAACACCCAGGCATATAATAATAAAAATTCCAGAAATTCAATACAAGAACAGAATATTAAAAGCTGTAAGAGACAAGAAACAGACCACTTACAAGAGAACATCCATCAGAATTACAGCAGATTTCTCTGCACAAACCATCAAATCACGAAGAGCATGGGGGGAAATAATTCAAGCTTTGAAAGATAATAATCTCCAGCCAAGATTGAGATATCCTGCACAACTGTCCCTGGAAATTGATGGAAAAACAAGGTGCTTCCAGGATAAAGAGGAACTGGGGGAATTTGCAACCACCAATTCAACTCTACAGAGAGTATTGCAGGATATTCTAAAAAAAGAAAAATAAAAAGAATCCAGAAATAGTGGCGGGGAGGCCACAACGAATGGAGCAGAGAACAAAATGAAGAAGACAAACTGACAGCTACTGACAGAAAAAGAGCTCAACAGAAATAAGGCAGAGAAGATTGGATGATAGGAACAGCTACTTTGGAGAAAATGACATCTTAATAGGTAATGCTGATTTAGTATCATCTTGTTTTGAAGTCTCATCTAGCTTTTGTTCTTCTGTCTCCAATGGTCTAAATATGTTGTATCTTATTGGATTTTATTATGTACAATAGTATAAGCAAAAACCTTTTAAAGACAAGGAGATTATACAGAAACCATTGTTCATTTTCTGTTAGTCGATTCTAAATACTCTGTAATGCTGTCATTCTCTTAAATGGTTTTACATTGTTTTGATATACTTAATGCTACAGTATATGAAGTTGTACTCAAGGATTTCAAGGAAAGAGACAATATGGTAACTACTTTTAGGTCAGGATTATCTGGTGGTGAAACACTATTCTGCTTAAATGGTTATGTTTTGATCTGCACTGTTTCGCTGTTATGCCCTCTTATATCTCAATCTCCACTCCATTATTTACTTTTTTATTTTTATCCTTTTAATTAAAGGAAAAAAAATAGCAGGATATATTATAGTAACCCACTTTGACTTTCCATTATCTCGATTTAAAGCCCTGTATTACTCTCACCATCTTGTTTTTGACTGATGTTCCCCTATTCTGTTTTGCTGGATAGTATCAGGTTCGAAAGTTTAGGCATCAGCTGTGAAGATAATGAGATTCATTATAACGCCCATTCTCATTGACTTTTATCTACTTTTGAAGACCTACAATGTCTCCAATGTTTTGGTTTTGTCGGTTTTATTCTTTACTGTTTTGTTCAATCGTATTATAACTAAGGATATAGGCAATTCTATTAGAGATAGCGGGAGGCATTATGGTAACCATTGTTGATCACCTTGTATTATGTTTTTACATTATCTATTATGTCCACCCTTTTTACTTGACCGATTCTGTTCTGTTATGTCACATTTGGTTTTACTCTCTACCAAAAAAGTAATAAGAACCATGGGAGCAATGAAACCCAAAATGTGTAATAGTCATTGTACAAAAGAAAGGAAAAGAAAATGCTCTAAACTATATAACTGCATGTATATTTAAGTGTATAAGATAGGAAATGATATCACAGAGTTTTATTGGATCATTGAACAGATCTGTTTGCAGTATCATTGTTGGAATGTCCACTTTACAAGCTTTAATTTTGTGACTTGAACAATTATTTCTAAGATGATGATATGTAATCCATTAACTAGTGATTTCCTACTGTTTATTTTTTTTCTGTAAATCTGTATAACTTGTACCCTTTCTCTGCTTTTTTTTCTTTTCTCCTTAAATAAAATTTAAAAAAAAAAGAATATACATGTTAGGCTATATAAATTTTGGTGTATTTATGAAAAATTTAGTTTTTTAAAATTGATGGAAAAATTTTTTTATTTTAAAGAAAATAAAATCAAACAAAATGAAATAGAATACAGCCAATCAAAACAAAACAATGAAAGTAATATAAGACTTCAAACCAAGATCATAGGAAATTAACAATGGCTACCATAATGCTTCTTGTGATCATCAAAATAGCTGCCAATACTATCAGATATAATAAAATCAAACAAAACATAACAGAATAAAACCAATCAAAACAAAACAATACAAGTGATACAGGACTTCAAAACAAGATAACAGAAAATCAACAATGGCGACCATAATATATCTTGTGATCTTCAAAATAACTGCTCATACCATCAGACATAATAAAATAAAAAATGAAACAAAACAGAATAAAACCAAACAAAATAAAAAAGAAAATGATACAAGACTTCAAAACAAGATAATAGGAAAGTAATAATGGCTACTACCTTCCCTTTTTAGACAGTTCCTCCTCTTTCACTTTCACAATATGTATTGTACATTTTGGATCCCACTAATTGCTTCAGTTTTTTTATACTAGGGAGACAACACAATGTTCACCCATGTGAGTCTGTAAGCATGTGAGTCTGAACCATTTCACCTGTAAGCATGATCTCAAGTTGTATTCATTTACCTACAAGAGCCTTGAGACTATCCTTTTTTATTGCTAAGTAGCTTTCCATATATAAAAGTCCCATATCTTTTTTATCCATTCTGCAGTTGATGGATAAGTTGCCCCTGCTTTTTCCTAGGTCTCTGTCACATAGTGCATTGTCTTTTCTCTTCTGACCTGCAGTCCATAAATATTCTCTCAAGTCAAATGTGTTTCTTGCATATAGCATAATGACAGATCCTATCTCCCAATGTACTCTGCATGTGTTTCTTTTTATTGGTGAATCAAGGCCACCTACATTAATAGTTATGACCAACATGCACTGTCTTATCTCTGCCATGCCAACCTTCTGTTACTGATCCCCCACTTTCCCCCTCCATTCAATTGCCTGCTCTTGGTGATCTCGCTCTGCTGCTATACTTGGAACTGTAGTCATTTTTATCTCTCTCTTGCATATCCTTTAGCACCCCCTTTAGGGTTGGTTTGGTGGTTATGATTTCCTTCAGTTGTTTTTTTTTTTAATCATGGAGCATCTTACCTCTCCTTAATTTTGAAAGATAGTTTTTAGGGTATGTCAATCGGGGTTGGAAGTTGTTTTCTTTCAGGACTTGAGACACTTCAAGCTCTTCTTGACTTGATAGTTTGTGTTGAGACATCTGTCATGATTCTGATGGGTTTTCCTTTATAGGTAATCTGGTTCTTTCCTCCAACAGCCTTTAATAGTTTGTTTTTGTGATGAATTTCTGGGATCTTGAGCATCATATGTCTGGGTGTAGATTCATCATGGTTATGGCAATTTAGAGTTCTATATGCCTCACTTACCTGTAAGTCAGGTTCTTTTCCCATGCTTGGGGGAGGTTTTCTGCTATTACTTCTGCAAATAGTCTTTTTATGTCATTTGTGTTGACCCTTGTTTTTTTGCTGACACTTATAAGTCTTAAATTATTTTTCATTGCATCATCTTGCAGCCACTGCATTGTTATTTCTTGGTTTCTTGTTATTTTTAGGAGATTTTTCATGATTGCTAGCTGTAATCCTGTCTTTAAGGCTTGAGAGTCTATACTCAGTTTCTTTCAAGTGGTTTTTGCCAGCTTTCAAAGGAGTTTTTAATGTACTGGATATCTCTTGTTGCATTCCAATTCTTCTCTATATTGCTTATTCAAAGTTTTTCCTCCTTTTCCTATGCTCCTCTTTTTTGTTAATCTATATCTTCTTTAGATCCTCTCAGCAATCCTTTCATTATGATTTTCATTTCTTCTTTTACTCAAGATATAATTTCTGATCTTATTTCTGTTACAGCCTCATGAAGTAGTTTCTTTACTTCAGTTACCATCATCCCAGAAATTTCAAGTGTGTCACTTCCAATTTCTTCGATGTTTATTTCTCCTGGATTTGTGTTGTGTGGCTGGAGGTGAGAGACTGTTGTTTGCTCTTTTGTCTTGATGTTTTCCTGGTTTCTTCTGGATGAACCAATTGTGGGGTCTCAGGTGCTTCCCATATTGGCTGTCTGTTCATGATACAGGGAATAGGTTAAGCAACCTGGGTTTCTCCTGACCTAGGTGCCCGGAGGTGGTGGGGCTTGGGGTAGGCTTCTCCAGACACATGTAGCTATACCAAGATTCCCCTGATGGTGGCTGGTGGGCTCATGGGGGCATGTGTGGCTGGTCCTGGCCTATGCTGGTTACTGGTCCTAACAGCAGTGGCAGCTTGTGGGCTCTGGAGGTGTGACTGGCAACTTCTCCTGGCCTGTGATGGCTACCCTAAAATTGATTTTTAAAATCTCAAAGAACATAAAGCCTAAAGAATAATTTCCTCTGATACAGAGGAAAAAACTTGGATATATATATTCGTGTGTGTGTGTGTGTGTGTGTGTGTGTGTGTGTATGTGTGTGTGTGTGTACCACTCACAACCCCACACTTGCCAGGCAGGTACTTTATGCCACTGAGCTAAATGCCCAGTCCTAGGAGACCCATATTTAAAAGACCAATTTTATTAGTTACTTTCAATGCCTGAAAGAGAGATTCAATAAAAACAAGGAGAAGGGAGCATCACAGAGAAAGCACAGGAGAAATCTCTGCATGGCTTCAACAACTCTTGCCAGGCATATTAGGACAAAATTCTGTGAAAATAGGCAAAGAATGAAAGAATTGTAAGAATAATTCTCAAGAATTCTTTGGGTATGAGATATGAGCTTTGACCACACAGATAATAGAGCTCTTATAACCACCCAGGGACAATCTAGGGGAAAACTTCAAGAGGAAGAGATAACTATCTTAAATATATATGCACCAAACTCCAGAGCACCCAGTTATATAAAACAAGTACTAACAGAAATGAAAAACCAAATTAGCAGTACCACAATTCTAACAGGAGATCTTAATACACCATTGACACCAAGGGACAGATCAACCAGAGAGAAAGTCAGCAAAGAAATAAAAGAACTGAATCGCACCTGTGAACAAATGGACTTAATAGACATATACAGAGTATACTACCCAACAACAACAGAATACACATTCTTCTCAGCAGTACACGGGTCATTCTCTAAAATAGACCATATATTAATTCACAGAACATATTTAAATAAATGCAAAAGGGTTGAAATTATCCCTTGCATGCTATTGGACCATAGCACTATGAAATTAGAAATTAATGATAAAAGATACTGCAAAAATCCCACAAACACATGGACACTGAATAACACACCCTTGAGTAATCAGTGGGTCACAGAGGAAATTAAAGAAGAAATTAAACAATACCTACAAACAAATGAAAACACAAATACAACTTCCCGGAATCTGTGGGATGCAATGAAAGCTGTCCTCAGAGGAAGATTTATTGCACTGAATTCCCACATTAGGAAAACAGAATGAATGCAAATAAATAACCTGATGTTACACCTCAAACATCTAGAAAAAGAAGAGCAAGTCAAGCCTAAAGCTACCCCCACTTTTTGGGGGGGTGTTCCTGTTGCATGAA